AACAGAGAGCCCCAGATGGAGCAGGAGAAAAGTGGGGTGCAGAACTCAAATTCTAGTAAGAAGACCAGACTTAATGGTCTGACTGAGACTGGAGGAACCCCGGAAAGCATGGCCCCTGGATTCTCTATCAGCCCAGAACTAAAACAATTTCCAAGGCCAACTCTTCAGACAGATTGGACTGGACTGTGGGATATAAAGTGATACTCGTGAGGAGTGTGCCTCTTAGCTCAAGCAGATACAAGAGACTAAACGGGCAGCTTCTGTCCAGAGGCGAGATGGGAAGCCAGAGAGGGTTAGGAGCTGGTTGAATGGACATGGGGAATCAGGGGTGGAAAGGAAGAGTGTGCTGTCACAGTATGGGGAGAGCAGTTAGAGTCACATAACAGCGTATGTATAAATTTTTGTATGGGAAAAAATAAAAAAACCACCTCAGACCAAGGAGTTGTTGAAGCTAGGTGATAGATGCATGAGTTCATCATACTAATATGTGTGCTTTTGAGTAGATTTAATATTTTCCTTTAAAAGTTTAGCAAAAGTCAATTAATATTAAAATTAAATAAATAAGCAAAACAATGGTGGTCAGGTAAGGCACTTCCCCTGATGAAAGGAATAGTAGGAGATGCAGCAGGAAACATAGAAATCTACATTGTAGATGCTTTGAGAGACCAAGCTGAATTATACTTATTAAGTACCTACCGTGTAGCAAGGAATTGGTATAATCTACAAGCCATTGAAAATTTCTAGTAGAGGAGTAACTTAAGGAAAAGGCAATTTAGGAAGATTCATCTTACGGGAAAAAAAGCTAACAGAAGAGACTTGTATCATATTTAGTTGAACATTTGTTGAACATACTTACTATGTGCTAGGCTGTAGGGATCTGAAATGAATGATTTAAGGTGCCTTGTGCTTGTCTGTAGGAACTTATAAATCCAACATCAATATGTTATTATATTATTTTGTACTTGCTGTTCTGTTGCCCAGTGGTTGCATTCCAGTTGTTTCACATTTGTTGGAGTCTCATCAGCTGGTTCAGATCTGCTCCCTGCCCACCACCTGCACCAGGCCAGTGGTGGTCATCAGTGACAGTCTGACTGACTGCTGCAAATAACCCCTCTTACCAGAGAATCAGCCATGAGCAGTTTGTTTTTCTTTTGTTCTCTTCTTCAGGAGTGACGTGCACATTCTTTCTCTTCTGGAGGCTGACAGGACCAAAATACAGGCAGTGTGAAAGTGGTGACAGAGTTAGAAGAAATCTTGGAAGAAAACATTTTTGACTTGGTCGTGGGACAGCTAGCTGCTGGGCCCACCATGGCACCGGTGAAGATCAGCCACGTGGTATCATTTTCCTCTCAGGTATATTAGCAGGATTTTTTCTTGGTAGCTGGAAAGGAGTTAAAAAAAAAAAAAAAAATAGACTTGACTCCACTTTCAGCGAAATCCCAATCTAATAGGAGAGACATTGTCCCTTCTTTGGGAGTCCAGACTCTAATGGGGGATGCATAGCTCTTGCCTTTAGGTTGTCCCCCAGAGCAACGCAGGAGGCATAAAAGAAGTGTTCTCAGGAATTGATGGTAAAGAAGGAAGCACATTCAGGATCCTACACATAGTTTGGAGGGAGCTAGCAAAGCTGTAAGCCCAAAGTCTGCACCAGGGTCCCCAGAAAGGCAGTTTGGTCAATTTGTCGTTAAGAACAGGCCCAGATACTCGAGGTAGTCCCTGACCTGTGAAGATACCACTGTCACCATCAAGGGTGCTTCCAGCCTTCTGCCTAAAAGTCCTGTAATATCCCAATTACAGCCATATCCCTGGCCCTGGGTCCTAGGGCCAGCTCATTAGGGACTTCTCACCCTTTCCTCTGCTGTCACTGCTTTATCCATTTGCCCCTTCTCCCCTCTCCTCTCTTCTTGTTACCCTAACCTTTTTCAAGGGTTACCGCTGGCATTTTGAGTGGGATGAGTCTGCATTTTGTAGCAATGTCATTTGCATTGTGGGACATTTAGCATCCCTAGCCCCTGCCCCTAATGGCAATATTGCTCCCTGGTCATTAAATACCCCTACACATTTCAGAAGGGGTGGCACTGCCTCAATTAATAACTACTATATCAACCCCTATTCTAGGGAAATAAAATAAAAATTGCCCTTATCCTTAGCTGCATAGTCAGCCTAAATGGTTTTCTTCTCAGACTCTTAGCCTATAAAATGCTAGAGAACATTAAGTATCTTCTAATTATAGTGGTTTTCAAATGATACTCTGTGGGAACCCATTTTTAGAAATTGAAAGTAAGGGGGACGAGTATGTCTCTAGTCCTTCCTCCACCTGTGCTTTAGCCAGAGCTCTGCTTTTATTTGCTTAAAGCTATTTATTTGTGTGTGCATATGTACAAACACACACATACACACTTCGGTGTAAGATTTCAATTCAAAGAAAGCGTTATTGCTTTTTTTAAAAATAAAGTTGAAAATCATGAATCTAGTCTCTTGCTTCACTTACAAATGAAGAAATTTAGGTCCAGGGAGGCAAATTGGTTTCCACAAGGCCACTTAACCAAAAAAATAACTGACCTTGGGTTAGAACTCAAAATTTCCATCTCAGTACCACCGTTGTTGACTATGAACAAATCACTTTATTCTATGCCTCGGTTATAAAATTAAAATTAAAAAATTTGCCTTCTTTACCTCCTTGAGTTACTTTCAAGATAAAATAAATGTCTGTAAAGTCATCTTTTAAATGAAAAGAAGTGGTATAGTGTGGTGGCTAAGAGCTCTGGATTCAGAACCCTGAGTTAGAATCCTGACTTTGGTTGGTTATTTGGCCTCATGGCCTTGGGTAAGTTGGTGAACCTCTCTAAACCAGTTTGTTCATCTATTAAATAAAACAAAACAAAACAAAAAACCATTACTGTCAAGTCAGTTCCTACTCATAGCAACCCTATAGGACAAAGTAGAAGTGCCCCATAGGATTTCCAAGAAGCAGCTGGTGGATTCAAACTGTTAACCTTTTGGTTAGCAGCCAAACTGTTAACTACTGTGCCACCAGATCTCCATCTATTAAACAGGAAGTAATAATAGTGGCTACCTCAGAGTTGTTAGGAGAATTAAATGAGATGATGTCTGTATACCACTTAGCATTTGATGTATTCCCAGGTCTCCTGACTAGTGCCGTTTCTGTCATGTTTGGATGCCTAGAAAGGTTTGGGAGAGTGGAGATCCCTCATTCATGGGCATCCTCTTCTCCCTTGGACTCAATAATGTTCTTGATCTTCTCCTCCTCTCTCATACTTAGGATCCCAAGTATCCTGTGGAGAACCTACTGAACCCAGACAGTCAGAGGGGACCTTGGCTCAGCTGCCCTCAGGACAAAAGTGGGCAACTGAAAGTGGAACTGCAGCTGGAGAGAGCAGTGCCCATTGGCTACATCGATGTTGGTGAGTGAGTTCTCTGGGGCCTGAGAACCAGAGAAGTAATATTCACCCCGACCCCTCAACTAGAATGTCTGAGTTAAATCTAGCTGAGCAGCCTTCATGGACTAAGCCCTACCTGGGAGTGATAGAGAGATATGGCCCGAGAGCTTAGGGCGGGTCTGTGGTATTGCAAAACTCCAGGAGCTGTGGAATACAATGTGAAAGGTGCTTCTGGAACTGTGCAACGTACTGCCCTGCTTTGGTCTGAGTAGTCTGGATGAAGCCATAGGACATCATTATAAATGCCAACAAATAGAATCTATACGCACCTCTAAATATCAGTGTCAAGAAGATGCTGGAGGGATGAACTATACAGGGTTAATCCGGGAAGGTTTACTGGAGGAGTTGGGAGTTTGTGGACTGAGAAGTTTGACCCTAGAATTGTCTGGAATTGAGGACTGGTGAAGACCGTTTGTCCCAGCTCTGTCCAGACAAAGAGATGTCAGACTTCCTAGCAAATATTTAATAGAGACAATTCAGTACTGCCTGCCAGGGTCAGAGGACAGGCAGAGGCAAAGGGAAGATTTCTGATTAGGAGGAACCCAGTGAACCTTCACATGGTCATTTAGTGGACTGTGGTCCCATTTCACTTCAGCTGCTGGTTCCCTGTGGGACTCCACATGTTGCTTGACTTTTCTAGACTTCCAACAAGCTCTAGAATGCCCTTTTCTCACCCAATTCCCTTATCTACCGTTAGAGGGGCCCCTGTCATCCCATCACCTTTATCCTTCTCTCAACTTTTTGTCCCCAGGTAACTGTGGCTGTGCTTTCCTGCAAATCGATGTGGGTCGTTCGTCCTGGTCCCTGGACAGGGCTTTCGTCACCCTGCTCCCTGCAACCATGCTAATGTCCTTAGCTGATTCAAAGCAGGGGAAGAACCGCTCAGGGGTCCGCATGTTTAAAGATGGTAAAGAGGGCAAAAGCAGAAAGGAGGCGTTGGGTTGGGGGGAGAAAGAGAGAGAGTGTGTGTGTGTGTGTGTGTGTGTGTGTGTGTGTGTGTGAGAAAGAGATGCAGTACTATAGAGGGCTGTAAGTACTGTTGGGTGTATATTGTGGGAGGGATTCTATGCAGGGGCTTAGTTATAACTGTTGGGGGAGTTGGGTCAGTAATGAGTGAACAACAGTGTGGTATATTTGTGTGTGAGTTCTGCATGGTAAGTGTACATGATAAACCTGTTGCTGTCAAGTAGATTCCAACTCATAGTGACCCTGTAGGACAGAGTAGAACTGCCCATAGGATTTCCAAAGAGCAGCTGGTGGATTTCAACTGCCATCTTTTTGATTAGCAGCCGGGCTCTTAACCACTACACCACCAGGGCCCCAGGATACATGATAGCTAGGTATATTTATGAGCTATGATTTTACTTACGCATAACATGGGATTCCATAGAACCTATGTAGAACCCATATTTGCAATTAGTGTGCTTTTTGTTCATATATCTGTACCAATAAGGGTGTAGGGTAAATCTTTACATATGCAGTGGAAAGCTATGTGATGATTATAGTATGTAGCATGTGGTGTTTCCTGAGTTCTGTGCTGTGCCAATCTCTGAATTCAGCTGACACTGCAGAAGAAGCATAAGATATGATTCTTGGCTTCTGGGAACTTACAGTCTAGTAAGGGTTTGTCTGTGTTTAAGTTGGAGGTGTTTATAATGTTGTGGAGGAAGAGTGATATTGCAGGGGCACATGAGGTGGAGAGATGAGGTACTGATTGGCTAGTGTTGGGAATAAAGTGTGTGAAGGATTTGTGATATTGGTGATGTGGTACTGTGAGTATATGGGGCATGTTGTGGTGTGAGGAAGGTTGAGGTCAAATGGTCAGGGAAGGCTAGATATATCTCAGCTAATCATTAGGCAAGTGGTCATCCCAGACCCTAACATTCCATATACCTCCTGTTAAAATGAGATATTGATGAGGTCTCTGAAGAGGTGCACAATGAGAATGTACTGATGTGGGGAACAGTGTGGAACCATGATAGACAGACAGGAGCGATGGTGGGAAGGCAAGGGATTGGATCTGAGAGGGCCCTGATTGGCCTGTGTGGCTCTACTAGACCCTGAGCACCAATGCCTGAGGTGGTCAGTTATCAGTGATCTCCATTCTTCCTTTTGTTGGAGTTTACTCCACATAGCCCCTGTCTTCTTTTCTTTCCTCTTCTCAGTGCTGACCTTCTTTTCTCCCTCCTCCCACTAGTGCATTTCCTTTCCCCTCATGTTCTTTCTTTTTTTTCCTTAGATGATTTCCTAGCCCCAGCCTCAGGTGAGTCATGGGATCGACTTCGCCTCACCTGCTCCCAACCCTTCACACGTCATCAGTCCTTTGGCCTGGCCTTCCTGCGGGTTCGTTCCTCTCTGGACTCCTTAGAGGATCCCATGACAGGCCCCTCAGCACTTGTGAGCTCTGGGCTGAGCCAGGTATGTATGATGGTAGAACAAGGACTTAATGATCTACCCTTTCCGGGTTTCTGGTTAGGAAGCTGCTGTCTGACTGAGGGATAGACGCATACATCACACATACATATTCAAATATGAGCACAAACAGGCTTGCTGCTCTCTCTTATAGGAAGGAGTGAACTCCTCTCCTTCCCTCGCTCGTATATAGAAGATGCAAGTGAGTGAGCCTCGAATATAGTGTTCACAGAGTTGTTGGACCATTTGTTCTTCTTGAGTACAAAGTTAACCTCATATTTCCAGGTTTTTGGTGGCTGTAGCTTTTACTGGAGCCCTGATGGCACAGTAGTTAAGCGTTTGGCTGCTAACCAAAAGGTCAGCAGTTCAAATCCACCAGCCTTTCCTTGGAAACCATACGGGGCAGTTCTGTTCTGTCCTATAGGGTCACTATGAGTCAGAATCGACTCGATGGCAACGGGTTTGGTGTTTTTTTTTTTTTTTTGGTAGCTTTTATCAGACTTTTCCTTTCAGCGCTGGAAAATCCCAGGGCTCACTTATAATCTCTCTGTCCTTTTTGTTCCCTGCTTGACCTGCCCAGCAAAGCCAGTTATACTGTTAGATGTGTGCTCTGCAATTTCATTTGTTCGCCTTTTCTCCCTCGCTATACAACACACATATACTCCTAAGAGAAGATGTGTGTGAATGCTAGTCTCCTGTTCTCTACTGACTTTCTCGCCTTGAGTTTATGTCAGTTTAACTCACCTTTTCTCAGGCAGTTTTCTAGGTATATTTTCATCCTAAGTCTGTTCTGACTCCTGTCCTTCTGCTTTCTTGTCATTGATGCCTCCATATATTTTTTGAAGCCTGTACCCTCCACCACAATCCACTCACAAACAAATATAAATAAGTAATCAGAGAAAACTAAAGTCATAGAATTCTAGAGATTTAAAAAAACAAAACTTAGGAATCATCTAGCCCCAAGCACTTCATTTTATATCTCAGATGGAAAACTTTTGTGTATTCAGTGAGAAACTAGAAGTCAAGTCTCCTGTCATCACCCCACATTGCTTCCTATACACTCAATACATTCTTAGAAGCTTCAAACATATTTGACAACCAAAAGAATCAGTTCACAAGAGTTTCAATCTACTCCTGTTGAGGTTACTGAGAAAAAGAGGAGACTGGGCATTAGGAAGAAAAAATGGAGTTAGAGCAGAGAGCAGGAGTAGATGCTTTTATAGTACAACCTTGGGAAAGACCCAGAGAGTAGACACAAAGTAAAGCTTGGTCTGAGGTTTGCTCTCCTATTTCTGAGAACGGCTGAAAAATGCAAAAGGACCGACAGAGGCAAATCAGTGTGCTCCACCATGTTCTGATATTCTGGTACTGGGAGCTGACACGAGTGGCGGTAGATCTTTGTGATCCTGGCTGTTCCATAAAATGTAAGCTCCGTGAGATTAGAAACCTGGTCTGACTTGTTCAATAATATATCGCTGGCACCTAGAACAGACTTATAGTATAAATGTTCATTATATAAATAACCTTTTGGGAGGAGTTATAGATAAGGTCACTGTATAGTTTATCATCCAAACCGAGGCAAAAGAGTGTGCTATTAATAATTGCACTAGGACAACAGACATAAAGCTGGACTGTCTCAGGCAAACCAAGACATATAGTCACCATAGTTTTCGGATAAATTAGGGCTTCCCAGAGGCTTTTCGATTTTAACCATCTAAATTAATCTGCACCTCTAGGATTATGATGGGATCCAGGAGGAAGGGAGTCAGCAACTCCAGAGCCATAATAACAGAAAGACATTGAGCAGTAGCAAAAGCAGAACAAAACTCATGTATGCAGGTACCTCCTTGAAAGCACAGAAAAGGGAGGTCCTGAAACATTTTTACAAGAGAGCGATGGTACATGGAAATGAATCAGACAGCCCTCAGTTTTATAATTTAAGGGTCACTATGAGTCAGAATCAACTTAACAGCAAGGGGTTTGGTTTTGGTTATGGAGCTCTGGTGGCACAGTCATTAAGAGCTCAGCTGCTAACCAAAAGGTCAGCAGTTCTAATCCACCAGCTGCTCCTTAGAAACCCTATACGGCAGTTCTACTCTGTCCTATAAGGTTGCTATGAGTCAAAATTGACTCATTGGCAATGGGTTTAAAATGCTGTAATGTATCACTCTAATTGGTATACTATAGCGAAAGCAAAATATAAGTACTTTTAACCCTGTGAATGGTGACTATGTGATTCAGAATAGAACTGGACTCTGTAAGGTTTTCAGTGCCCGTGATCTTCTGAAGTTGATCATCAGGCGTTTCTTCTGAGGTGTCTCTGGGTGGATTCGTCTTGAGTTGGAGTTGACTCAGTAGCAACTAGTTTGTTTTTTTGTTTCTTTTTTTTTGGTTTAACCCTGTGAAATAGGAGCTTTTATGATCACTGATTTCCCAGTAAGGAAACAGAAGTGCAGGGAAACTTAGTGGGATATCCCAGGTCACACTGCTTAATAAATCTTGGAACTGGATTTGAATGTAGGCCACCTGACTCTACCTAGCTTGTGCTCTGAAGCTCAGTTTCTAATGGTTAATCTTGTTTAGCATTAAGGTTGAATAAACCATATCTACATACCTGTCTAGTTACCCTTTCTGGTAAGATTCACTCTAAAACTCATGAGACAAGGTAAAGAAAAAATGAAAACTCTGGAAAAGTTAAACAGAATATTTCAAAATTGATGTTAGGTCCAAGACGAGATTACAGTGGCAATTAGAAAATATTTAACAGTGAATGAGAATGAAAATGCTATTTAGCAAACTTGTAGAAGGAATCCAAAGCCATGTTTACAAGAAACACATTTACCTTTAAAAGAATCTGTGATAGAAGAATCAGAGTTGAAAATCAAAGAAAAAATTAAGAAATATTTTAAAATGTAGAGAAAAAAGGAAATTTGGAAAAATGAAAAAAGGAAATAGTCATAGATAAATTGAATTTTGACAAAGAATTAAGGAACAATAAAAAAGAAAACCCAAACCCATTGCCATCAAGTCAATTCCGACTCACAGTGACCCTATAGGACAGAGTAGAACTGCCCCATAGAGTTTCCAAGGAGCGTCTGGTGGATTCGAACTGCTGACCTTTTGGTTAGCAGCCATAGCTCTTAACCACCACGCCACTAAGGTTTCCAAGGAACAATAGCATACCATATAAATAAAATATCTGTAGAGATGATCTGTTAAGAGATGGTTGCACAGAGACATTTCTGGAGCTAGAAGTAAAGAGGTTTATAGATGCCTGTGATAGATATAGTGGTTAATGCTAGAAAAATAACAGGTCATATCTATATACATACATTCACATCTCTTTTTATAGATGGCTAGAAATGGTGGCTAAAATTGGTAGGCTTTTAGTTGTAGGTGAACAAAATTGTTTATAAAATAAAATCATACTGGAAATTAAGCAATATGATTAAATAGTTTGTAGAAGGAAATGATGAAAATGTCCCCAAACAGTTCAAAATAAAGCTGTTTGTCTGTATGAAGAAATATATGTGTATGATTTTTTCCTTTTGAAGGTATGTAAAGAGAGAAGAGTGATTTGAGTTTTGTTCCTATGTTAGTCAATTTTATATACATACGAATTTAAACACACACATATATATGTGTATACTTCCAGAAGTTTCACATCTGTCGCCATAGCCCTGTTTTTCCCAAGAATATGTAGTCTCTTACCTGGGAGCTTTCAGGAACACGATAAAACTCCTACCACTGGGGAACTACATACACAAAAATCACCAAAGCTCAGATCTTAGAGCTGGAAGAAACTCAAAAACGTGCTCACACAAGCAAACATGCATGTAGGAGTTATTACAGATACATTCATTCCTTAAGCTGAGTTCCTCAGGTTTGGGAGTAGGCCTTGGCACTAGGTGGCAGTGTCCCCTGGTGGTGAAGCTCTTTATTTCTTATTTCTCCATTTTCTTCTCCTCAGGGGTCTTCTGATGCTCAGGAGTCTGGTCCTAGCCCCTGGATGGCTAATCCTTCTATCCGGAGGACATTCTTCCCAGATCCCCAGACGTATGTAGCTGCCAGAGTGGAGTTCTTCCAGTCACTTCACAGTTCTTTTTCCTGGAAGAAAAATGCTACCAAGTCTCTCACAGGCACACAAGCCCAGTTAATCACATACTCTAAACCTAGTCTTATCTGTATGTCAAACTGGCTTTTTTTTTTATTAGATATCATTGACCTGGGTGAGCAGAAGAGTAACGTGGGTGAGGCCTCTGTTCTGAGTTAAGCCAAGCACTGTCTGTTTCCCTGCAGGAGCACCAAGGAAATTTCAGAGCTCAAGAATTTTCTAAAGCAGCTGCAGCCAGGGATTCTGGGGCGTTCAGCCCGCATGGTGCTTTCAGCTGCCCACAGGGCGCCCCCAGCCAGTGTGGCAGACCCAAGGAACAACCACGCAGAACCAGGTCACAGTCATCCTGATGGCTCAGGTGAGGCACATGACCTACCATTAGCTCCATACTCTCCCTGGCAGTCTCCTTTCTCCCTGAATCCACCACTACTGTAAGGGGATGGCTCACAAATGGGACTTCATGTGGGAAAAAACAAGACTGTCAGTGTCTTGTTTCTGTAAGAAAAACCAAATATTGTGTAGTAATTGAAAGAAAATCAGTCTAGGAATCAGAAATTTTTATGTTTTTGGGATTCAATTCCCTTATCTTCAAAGTGAAGAACTTTAAATAGTATCTAAGGCCTTTTATAGTAGTAATGGCCTGTGATCACCTCAGAAGGATGAGTAAGTCAGGGTGGTGGTCTGTGTATGACGCTTAGTGGGGAAATAAGATGGGGTATAGTGTGGTTTTATCGCAGAGGAAGAAAGGATGAGAAAACATTTTGGAGTTCCTACTTTGCATAAGACATTACTAGGCACTTTTACTAGCTGTCTTACTTAATGTTCACTACAAATTTATGCAGTAGATATCATTACTTTCATTTTACGGAAGAATCTGAGATTCAGGGAGGTTAAGTATTCTGAGTCACACAGCTAATAAGTGGTGGAGCCAGGATTTGAACCCCAAAGTGCTTATTCTCTTTACTATTCCATATAGCAAGAGGGAGGAAACATGTAGGGTTCTCACTGAAAAGTTAAGAAAACAGGATGGCTTATTATTTCATTGGAAAAATTTTAGGAAAGGAAAGGTTTGTCTGTCATTTCAAAGAAATAGAGTATATTGATCATTTATTGCTATGTAACAAATTACCCCAAAACTTAGTGGCTTAAAACAATGTTTATTATCACACAGTTTCTGAGGTTTAAGAATCTAGGCACAGCTTCGCTGGCTTCTGGCTCTGAGTCTCTTACAAGACTGCAGTCATCTCAAGGCTCACCTGGGAAGGGTCTGCTTCCTACCTCACTCACAGGGTTCTTGGTAGGACTCCTTTTGGACTGTTGGACTGAGGCTTCCCTCAGTTCCTTTGCCATGAGAGCCTCTCCATAGAGAATCTCACAATATGGCAGTTTACTCCATCGGAGTGAGCAAGCAAGAGGGCAAGACAAAGTGCCAGCAAACCAGACAATGCTAGCAAGACAGAAGTCACAGTCTTTTGTAACGTAATCACAGAAATGACATCCATCACTTTCGTCATATTCTAGTCATTAGCAAGAAGTTACTAGGTCCAAGACACACTCAAGAACAAGGGTTTACTAGGAAGCAGGAATCAACGGTACTAATTTCAGAAGCTGCCTACCACGTAAGAAAAGATGTTATTTACTATATTTTAAGAGAAGGAGAATGGAAGGGAACTAACCTCTTTGGGGGCACATACTATGGGCTGGACATTGGAGCTATGAAAGCACTTTGAAAAACATTAAATGCTGTACAAAGTGTTTTGTAAATTCTGAATAACTAGACAAATGGTTCTTACGGGACAAATGGTTGTTACTGGGTTTTGTATCACTCATTTGACATTGAACATCTCTTATGTGCCAGGCTCTGTGCTAGGTGCTGGGGATACCACAGTGAATAAAATAGCAATGCCCCTACCCTAACAGAGATACATGTGTCCATGTCACACAAAGAAATCTAAAACTTAAACTGTGATTAAGTGCTTTGAAACAAAAGCATATTGAATGACTAAATTTAGATGAGAAAATCAGAGAAAGTGCCTCATAGGAGGTAACAGTTCATCTAAGACTGAAAGAATGAGAAAATATTAACCGGGGAAAGAGAATAGAAAGTATATTCCTGGCAGAAGGAATGGAATAGGTGAAGACTTTTGTTAATGAGCTAGATTTGATGAGCATTTCTAACGCAGAGCCCAGAGCAGAGGAGCAAAACTCAGAGAATGACACAGGCAGGACGAAGAGACAGAAAGTACAGCACCGAAGGTAAGTAGGTCAACCTAAATTAAAAGACCCAAATCACCTCCCCAAACCATATTGCCCTCCTGCAGCTGTCCTTTTTCCTTCACTCTTGCTTCAGTTAGGTCAGAAAGTACCCTTGTGTCTAGGTCTTGATCTCTTGGTCTGGACCTAGAGGGTAGTGGTGAAAAAATACCCTCTTCCACACATTGTCAGGCTGGGAGCTACACAAGGAGACAGCCCTGTAGTGAACCAGAGTCTGAAGATGAATACTTAGTTATCTCAGGAACTATGTAACCTAATTCCACATCATCCTATATTTATTTAGCTTTGTACCATTCTGGATCTTTAATAAAATCTGCTTTAGATGTTGCATCCTGATCTTGGCTGTGATATAGAGAATAAATATTAAAAGAAGAGAGTTTGCACAGTAGGTGACACCTGACTTTTGTTTGGTATGGGGTGTTTTTAAGGAATATACCTTGAGATAAAGCTCTCCTTTCCTGTCCTCCTCAGGCATCACCATTCCTTGTCTTATATTAAGCAAAGTCCTTAATTATTACCCCTGAAGTAGTCTCCCCAAGGGGGCAGCAGCATAATTAAAAAAGCGTGCCTTTTTTTGGCATGCAGTAGGTACTTATTAAAATTAGTTGCTTAACTACTCTTAATTGAAATTGAAGGTGAGTCTTTAGAATGGGGCTAAAATTGGAGATGTGAGGGCCAACTCCCATCCTTTTCCCAAATGGCCAGCCTTAGACAATCTATGGCCTCTATGGCCAGCCTTAGATGATCTGACCTCTGTTTATTAAGAAATTCAGTGAATTCCTGATACCTTCTTCCTTGTGTTTATTTCTAAAATAGCAAGTTATTTCTGCTTTGCCTAGAGGTCATTTCAGACGTTCTGAAATGAAAGCAGTAAAGACAGCAGGGCATATTTATCCCAGGAATGCAAGGTTGGTTCAACAAGTGAAAATCAATCAATGTAATACACCATATTATTGGAATAAAGGACAAAAGCCACATGATCATTTCAACAGATACAAAAAAAGCATTTGACAAAGTCCAACATTTTTCATGATAAAAGCACTCAACAAACTGAGAATTAGAAGGAAACTTCCTCAAACTGATAAAGGGTATCAACAAAAAAACCTACACTAACATCATACTTAATAGCGAAAGACTAAAAGCTTTCCCCCCAAATCAGGAATAAGACAAGGATATCCACTCTCACCATGTCTATTCAACATTTACTGGAGGGTCTAGCTAGGGCTATTAGTCAGGAAAAAGAAATAAAAGGCATCCATATTGGAGAGCAAAAAGTAAAACTATTTCAATTCACAGATGCTATGATAATGTATGTAGAAAATCCTAAGGAATCTACAAAAACATTCATAATAGCCAAAAGGTAGAAACAGCCCAAATGTCCATCAACCAATGAATAGATAACAAAAATATGGTGTATCCATACAATGTAATATTATTTTGCCATAAAAAGGAATGAAATACTGATAACATGCTACAACATGGATGAACCTTGAAAACATAGTGAGTGAAAGAAGCCAGTCACAAAAGGCCATGTAATATATGATTTCATTCATAGAAGAGTCCAGAATACACAAATCCATAGAGACAGAAAGTAAATTAATGGTTGCCAGGGTCTGGGGTAAGGGAGAAATGGGGAGTAATTGCTAATGGTACGAGGTTTCTTTCTGAGGTGATGAAAATGTTCTGGAACTGGTTATTGGTGATGGTTACACAACTTTATGAGTATACTAAAAACCACTGAATAGTAAACTTTAAAGGGTGAATTTTATGGTATGTGAGTTGTATCTCATTTAAAAAAATACGATTCTTAGAGCAGTAATAGAAGCACTCTTCTCAGATATTCAAAGGTTAAATGACTTCCCTCCAGTCTGGTGCATTAAGTGGGGACACTAGGCCTCCAACCCAGGCCTTCGGGCTCCACATCAACTGTTTTACATTCTTTTTGCTCTAATTCTAGGCTCCTTCAGCTCTTACAACTGGTGATACCACCTCTTGCTAATATCTGGTCTTTAACTGTTCTTTCTCACAGATTTCTGTCTAACTCTAACTCTCGGCCAAACGGGAGGGGAACAGCACGACAACATCAACCCCAAACCGAAAGCAACGGACAGAGACGACACCAACCCCAAACCCAAAGCCATGGACAGAGGCGACAACACCAACCCCAAATCCAAAGCAGTGATGTCCAGGATAGTGGACAATGCCCCATTTGTGCTGGTAAGCTCCAGGGCTTGGGTACACAGGGTTGTTACGGGACCATTAGGCATCCCTTGAGGGAGAACTAGAAGATCTGGGAATGTCATCAGGGAACATTTGGGTTTGGACTCCTGGTCTCTGTTTTCTCTGCAATACCCAGGTGTATATCTATACTTTTAGCCAGCTGTAATTCAGGACAAGTGTATATTGAGCACCTGCTCAGGTTGTGTTCTCTAAGCTGAGGAAGGGACATGGGCCCTGCCTTCAGGAGAAGCATGAAACAATACAATGTAAAGTAATACTGGAGAGGGCCTGCAATTTCCTGCATAACCTTGTCCTTCATGTCCAAATTCTACTTACTTTCTTTCTTTAAAGTATAATTTATTTTATTTTGGTCATTGTTGAGAATATACACAGCAGAACATACACCAATTCAACAGTTTCTACATGTACTATTCAGTGACATTTGAACTGTACATTCTTTGAGTTGTGCAACCATTCTCACCCTCCTTTTCCAAGTTGTTCCCCCCCATTAACATAAACTCACTGCCCCCTAAGTTTCCTGTGTAATCTTTCAAGTTACTGTTATCACATTGATCCCATACAGACAGATTTTAAAAGTGCACGATGCTCAAGGCTGACATTCTTTACTTCTTAAGCTAAGTTGTTGTTGGGTTTTAAGAAGACTTCAGGGGATATTTCTGGTTTAAAGATTATCTCAAGGCAGTAGCTACAGGGGCTCATCCAGCCTTCTTGGATCCAGAAAGTCTGAATTCCATGAGAATTTTAAATTCTGTTCTGCATTTTCCCCCTCTTGATCAGAATCTGCATATTTTCTAAGTCTCTGTTCAAATGATACTTATTTGCTAAGTCTTGTCTGATTTGAAGTTCTCTCACCCTGCTGTGCTCCTGCAGCATTCTCTGATTCCCTTAGGTTTAACACTCCTCTCTTTCTGCTTTGTGTCATTGTAACGTGTGTTCATGGCTTATCTTCACCACTAGACTCTGCATTCCATAAGGCAAGCCTGGGTTTATATCCCTAGCTCCTAGCACAATGCTGGGCACATAGTAAACACTCAGTAAATGTTTAGTGAATACATGACTAGATAGTGTCTCTCAGATGTAAAATATTGAATGATGATAAATTTCCTGCATTTTAACAGCAGATGCTCCCTCAGACTGCTTGGGATGGCATTCTACCTGGGAGCGGGTACATTTTGCTTACCTCCTTCCTTCTCTCCCTCTTAGGCTCCTTCACCATTGAGATTCTCCCCCTGCATGCTGCCACTTGTGGAGAGACCTCCCCACCTCGTCCAGCCTCTCCCTCTTCATCACCATCTTCATCCCAGTCTGTAGTATGGGTTTCCTCCCCAGAGAGCTCACCGCCACCCATTTCCTGGGTCCAGTGCCCTATCTGCCAGTTCCAGTTCTCAGCGGGAGAAGTGGAAGAACATGCCAGCATGTGTGGGGAGCTAACTCAGGCATGAGCCAGGAGGGCCTGTGGTTTTGCCCCCCATCTCTATGCTGGTGTGACTAAGGATGGGGATCACTTGACAGCTGAGAAGTGCTGACGACGCCTAGCCTGTCTCCTTCCTTCGCTCCATCCATTCCCTCAGGAGTCTGTCTGAAGGCACTTCTGGGCCCAGCTTACTCCCTACTTCCAGTTGTCAAGGCTTCTGTCGCCATGGCACCTGATTCTCCCAAGGGCAGCCCTGTCTTTTTCCCCCTTGGAACTTCTAGGGTAGGATTAGTGATCTCTCTAGGGCTTTGGAACACAATCCAGAACTTCTACCCCTCTGTGAGGGGAGCACATCCTCTTGACCACTTTCCTGAAAGGAAAACTGAGGCCCAGTGAAGAGAAAAACACTACCTAATAGATAAGATCCTGTGGCATACTAGGAAGATGAGAGTGGTTTTGAGCTGTAGACTGGAATTCCAGCATCTTTTGAACTTAGCTCTCAGTATCCTTTGTAGGTTCCCATCCTATAATCAGGTAATAGTGCCGCTTTGTGACTTTATGCAGGTTACTTATCTTGGGCCCAGAATTAACCCTCAGTAACTGAGAGAGAAAATCCCCCTTCGTTTCTGCTCACAGAGGTATTACAGGGACTAGATGAGTTAATGACTAAGGAATGGTTCTAGGCCTGGCTGTGGAACCTTGGGCAGATCCCATTCCCCATCTGTACAATGAGGTAGTTGGACTAGAGGGTCTCTGCATCCTCTCTAGCTAGAACATTCTAAATTCTGTTCCCACCTTCTTTGATCAACTATGTCCTCTCTCCCTTTTCCCAGAAGATTTGATTGTATGACACTAACACCAGCTACCCTGGTCCTCAGGGTACAGGGCAGAGGGGGAACAGCTGGTCCTGGCAAAGGGAGGGCCCAGGGCGGGGTTTTAAATGGGTAGAACAGAGGATGCCAGGCACCATCAGGGAAGCAGACGGCACGAGTTCAGTCCTTCAGTCTCTGCCAGCATAGGTGGGTGCTGCCATGGACCCCTTCATGGTAAGAGGCCTGCTGCTCCCCTGCCTTCCTGCATCCTAGTCCCATTTCTGGCGATGAATGAAACAGCAGTTTGACCCAGAGGGGCAGCAGGGACATCCTAGCTGCCAGACATGTGGCGGGCATCTCCTGTGGGTGGGAGAAGAACCCCTGGAACCCTGAACCTGGACTTAGAAAAGCAGTGAGGATGGGGCTGGGCCTCGGAGCAGTGAGGGGAGAAATGTCCCGCAAAGCAGAAGAGGACAGAGCTAAGGGAGTTTGGTGGAGGGGAAGCATCTGGGGACCCTTCTAGGAGGCCTGGTCAGTGCTGAAGAGCTTAGTAAAAGCCCAGTTCAAAGACCCTCCTGTGTGGAACTATGTGGGACTGCCTGTTGGAGATTCTCTGAGACTTCCTGGAGGAATGAGCAGATGGGAAATGAAGTCAGCAAGATGAGGGCTGGGTCCTGGACAGATCCTGTGTGCTTGCATGTGGAATTGGGCTCCTAGCCCAGCTCCACCCAGACTACCCACATTTGGCCCACTGTGTGTGTGGGTTCCTGTGAGGTGCAGAAGTTATACTGAGGAAGGGGCCCCAGTCAGACCCAGTGCTGACACTTCCCTAGCCTGAGAATCCACACAATAAAATGGTAAATAAAAATTTTTTTAGTATGTGTTTGGGACAAGGAATAATAGTGGGCTGGGTGTCAAGGGTTAAAGGTTTGAGAGTAGGAGGGTGAAGGGGGCCCCAAAGCAAAGGGGCTTAGAGATTTGGAGTTCTACCCTATCCACTCCTTCATTTAGCCACAGCCTAACTGGACCGAGATCGTGAACAAAAAGCTGAAGTTCCCATCTCAACTCCTGGGTGCCATCCAGGAGGGGCGTCTAGGCTTTGTGCAGCAGCTGCTGGAGTTGGGGGTGGAGACGACAGGTGGCAGTGGGCCCCTGCAGAATGTGGAGGAGGCCGAAGACCGCTCCTGGAGGGAAGCTCTCAACCTGGCCATCCGCCTGGGCCATGAGGCCATCACCGGTATACTGTTGGCTAATGTCAAGTTCGACTTCCAGCAGATCTATGAGGCACTGCTAGTGGCAGTGGATACAAACCAGCCAGCAGTGGTGCGTCGCCTGCTGGCCCGGCTGGAACGGGAGAAGGGCCGCAAAGTGGACACTAGGTCTTTCTCACTAGCTTTCTTTGACTCATCAATCGATGGCCCCCGCTTTGCACCTGGTGTCACTCCACTCACCCTGGACTGCCAGAAGGACCTGTATAAGATTGCACAGCTGCTCATGGATCAGGGCCATACCATCGCCCAGCCCCACCCAGTCTCCTGTGCCTGCCTCGAGTGCAGCAACGCCTGCCACTACAACTTGCTGAAGTTCTCCCTGTCCCGCATCAACACCTACCGAGGCATTGCCAGCAAGGCCCACTTCTCACTGGCCAGTGAAGATGCCATGCTGGCTGCCTTCCAGCTCAGCCGTGAGCTCCAGGCTCCTTGTTTAAGGTTGGTTTCTCATTCTTCCTTCTGTCCTCTATGCCCCATGTATGTTCTTCGACCAGAGTGTGGTTAGGCCTGTGGTAGGTGTTCTGGGAAGTAGGAAACAACAGAAAGATGAGGCCGTGAGGGGGCTTTCATTCTAATGGCAGAGAGCAATCCCTCTAGGGGCACCTAGTCTTGCGGTGACACAAGCTCCACCCTAGAAGTTCCCTGGGTCTGAGAGAGGAGAGAGAACATAGACTTATAGATTGAAAAACAGCTGGACAGACTTAGAGATGACAGTACGTCTTTTCTGAGTACCTGCTGTGTGTTCCCACCTAGAGCACTGAGTGTTGGAGATCAAAGGGACCAGAGGATGGGGCTCTCAAGCTTGTAATCACAAGCAGGGAGAGAGCTGAGAGGGGGAACAAGACACTCCTAGGACACTCAACTTCATTATCTCTGCATGTTGCTAACAGGGTTTCCAAAGCCCTGAAAACAAGTCCGCAAAGCTGTAGCTGTTGTGTTGAGGGAAAACTCCATGGAAGAAGCAGGATTAGGCTTAGCTACAGAAATGGGTGGCTTAACACAGGTGAAGAGGAGCAGGGAGGGTACATGGGATAGGGATGCATTCCAAGCAAAAGTAGAGACAAGATGTGTAGGACAGAGAATGAATGAGGGGGAGCCAGTGGAGGCCTGGAGGCAGGGACTGGCTAGGGGCCTTGAATACCACCTTGAATTCTGGTTCAGTTCCCTCATCCACTGACACCCACTGTGCCAAGCAGACTTGGTTCCTGTCCTCAAGATTACCATCAGGTGGGGAAATGGACAAGGAGGTCAAAACAGAAGCCTAGGTCAGGATGTAGCTATGCCATATGAGCTGAGGAAAGAAAGATGCTGCTTCCCACTCTGGGCTGTGGCAGAGTAGAACAATGAAAAGCCTCCACTTCACAGGTATCAGGAAGGGGGAGTCCTTTCCAAAGGACATTCACAGGTATAATTCCCCCCCCCCCATTCTAACAACAGCCCGTGGAGGGAGGCAGAGCAGGAATTACCATCCCCACTTCTTGGCAAGGAAGCGGAGGGACAATGTTATACTAGCTGAGGGATAGTGCTAGGACTCAGACCTAGCCTCCTGAATCTTAGCCTGGATTCTCTCTGGGGTAAGGGCTCCACATAAAACTGAGAATGGAATGGGTAAAGTGGAGGCAAGAACTACCATATTCATTTCTGCATCTCCTAAAACTGCCAGCATGGGATCTCATGTAAGGTAGGGGCTCAGAAAAAATTAACTAAATGAGCACATGAAAGGCATAAAGAGTAGGAGTAAAAGTGGGGCAGGAAGTAGAGATTAGGAAAGGGACATACAAAGGATGGGCAGAAGTGATGGGGTTTGGGGTTGAAGTGACTTGGTGATGAGGCAGAGATAGCGTCAGATAAGCAAAGGTGACATAGGAGGTACCTCATAGCAAGAAGACAGGTGGGGTGGTCAAGAAAAAAGTGTTACCCAGGGTAACACCAGACGTAGGAAAGAGGTGGCCCAAGGGCAGGACCCAGACCCAGGCCCACTGTAGTTGGGGGTTGATTTAATTGGACTGGGTCCACAGGGGGCAGGTTTGCTTCCGTACAGCCTAAGTACATTGCCCTGGAGTCACTGAGCCAGGACTACGGCTTTGAACTGCTGGGCATGTGCCGGAACCAGAGTGAGGTGACTGCGGTGCTCAATGACCTGGGCAAGGACAACGAGACTGAGCCTGAGGCTGAGGGCCTGGGCCAAGCCTTTGAGGAGGGCATCCCCAACCTAGCAAGGCTGTGACTGGCCGTCAACTACAACCAGAAGCGGGTCAGCCAGGCCCTAACCATCTCCCTTTCCCTGCCCTGATCCCTTGTCCTGCCACTTCTAGGTATCCTCCACTCCAAGTCCTTTTCCTACCTTCAGGACCCTTCTTAGACCTTGATTTTGAGTGCACTTCTGTCTAGGCTCTTGATCCCATGGGTCCCCAACTCTCCCTTCTTACCTATAGTCTAAACCTCTAATCTCTGCCCAGTCCTTAGGAGTCCCATTACCTAACAGGACGCTACCTTCCAACCAGGACATCTAGGTCTTGACTCAGCTCTACCTCTGACCTCCTGATTACCTTTGAGCTGGTTCTTTTCCCTACTTTGACTCTGGTATCTCTATACAGGAAGTAGATTAGACTAAACCTCTCAGGGCTTAGATAGCAAGTGATTCTTTTAGTCACTGTCTAATTAGATGCCCCATCACCACCACCAGGCTAAGGACATGCTCCCCTTGCTCCCCTTTCCGGCTTCCTCCAGCGCTTTACTTCTCATTCTCCTCACCCACCCTCAGATATCTTAGCCCACCAGTACCTTAATCAAAAACCTTCCTTCATAGTAGCTCCCCTGGCTCTGCTGTCCAAGACACGAAGCCCCCCTTCCCTGTTCCTCTCCTCCTTGAGACCATTCAGGCTGGTGCCCCATATCTCTTAAGAAGGCAGGGAATCCTGGGGTTCTGGGACTTGGGTACCCAACTTCATCCACCACAGACTAACTTAGGGTCAAGAATGTGAGATATAGAAAGTTCAGAAAAATCCCTGAGTTCAGCTTCCTCCTTTGTAAAGAAAGTAACCAAGGCCGAGAGGGGTGGGGTCTGCCCAAGGTCACATGGCAAGTGAGTTGCCAGTCTTCTGGGCTGGCTGACCTAGGGAGGAAGGAAGGCCAGCTCAGTCTCTGGTAGGGAAGTAAGGGCTGTGCACCCAAGTGCTCCCCTTGTCTCCTCCCTGCCTAGTGGTCCTCTCTGCTCTGCTTAGTTTGTAGCACACCCCATCTGCCAGCAAGTCCTGTCCTCCATCTGGTGTGGGAACCTGGCCGGCTGGTGTGGAAGCACCACCATCTGGAAGCTCTTTGTCTTCTTCCTCATCTTCCTCACCATGCCCTTCCTCTGCCTTGGCTACTGGCTGGCACCCAAGTCCCGGGTACTAAGAATGAGACTGATAATAACTGTCACTTATTGAGCACTTGTTCTATGCCAGGCCCTGGACTGGGCATTAAGTAACTGGAAGTGACCCTGGAAGGTAGGTGTTACACCTCCATTTTATAGAGGAGGAATCTGAGGCACAGGGAATGCAAGGGCTCCTTTTGTCCATGGTAGCAGTAAATAGCAGAGTCAGGATTTAAACTGAGGTCTCCCTGCCTCCAAAGCCTGAATCCTGTACCAAAAAAACCCTTGCTGTTGAGTCGGTTCTGACTCATACTGACTATGGGACAGAGTGGAACTGCCCCATAGGGTTTCCAAGGAGCAGCTGGTGGATTTGAACCTTTTGGTTAGCAGGCAAATGCTTAACCACTGCGCCACCAGGGAATCCTATACACAGCCCTTAAAAAAAAAAAACCAGACCCGTTGCTGTCAAGTTGATTCCGACTCATAGTGACACTATAGGACAGAGTAGTACTGGGTTTCCGAGGCTGTACACCTTTATGGAAGCAGACTGCCATATCACATCTTTCTCCTGTGGAGCAGCTGATGTGTTCAAACAGCCAACATTTCAGTTAGCAGCCAAGTGCTTAACCACTGCACCACCACGGCTCCTTTATACACAGCCCTACGCTCTCTTAAAGAGGCCCCACCCCATCCTGGAAATTCTTTGGGAGCCCTTGTGGTCCCAGATATTTTTATTCCTTCATTCAACCAATGTTTCTTTGAGACCCTACTGTGAGCCAGGCATTGTGCCTAGCACTGGGGATATAATGAAAAACAAGCCCTGTTCCCATTAACCAGGTAAAGAATAGGAAATGGGATTCTAGAAAGGAACAGCATTATGAAGGCCCAGGGAGCAGAGAATGTAAAGCATTAGACTGAAAAGAATTCATGTTTCAAAAGGGTAAGTGCAAATAGTGATTGGTGAGAGGGCCAGGGTCCAGATTGTGCAGAGCCTCATAAGCCATGTGAAGACTTTGGACTACATCCTGGGGCAATGGGAAGCCACTGCAGAATTTTAATGAGGTGAGTTACCCCATAAGTTTTGTGTTTTGGAAAGATGTCTCTACTAGTGGTACGAAGGATGGATTGGAGGGGGAGCCAGGAGTTAGGGACACTCTCGGAGTGTGGAAAGGTATGTGAGAGAGGATGCACAGCTGCCTCTCAGGTGCCTGGCCTGGGTAATTTGGTCATTTTTTGAGATGGGGACACAGGAGGAGGAGGATCAAGTTTGGGACAGAAGATAATGAATTTATTTTTTAACTTGGTTGAGTTTGAGGAGCCTACAGGACCCCTAAGGTAAAGTTACTTTACCTCTGTGATTCTCAGTTCCTTATCTGAAAAATGGAAATAATAATACCTACCTCATTGTGGTTGTAAAGGAAACAATAGATAAGAACGTATAGGGCCTAATATGTACATTCTCAATAAATATCTGAATAAATGAGTGGGTGAATCTGAGAAAGGGAGAGTCATGTGGACTGAACAGTACAGAAGGGCTTGCAGAAGGGGGAGAGATACGAACAGGATTCTGGGAGCCACGCTCTCTTCCTTCTCCACCCAAGCTGGGCCGTCTGCTAAAGATCCCAGTGCTGAAGTTCCTGCTGCACTCCACCTCCTATCTGTGGTTCCTCATCTTCCTGCTGGGAGAGTCCCTGGTCATGGAGACGCAGCTCAGCACCCTCCGTGGGCGCAGCCAGCACATCTGGGAGACTTCCCTACACATGATTTGGGTCACAGGTACATGTGTGGGGCCCTTTATTTGTAGCAGTCTCCTTTGGGGGGCCTCCTCACTGTTCTCCATGATAAACACCCCAGTGGGGAACCCTGCCCCTGCAGGTGCCCACTGAACATGTAAGCAGACCCCTCTGGGCTTTAGCACACCAGGGGACACCTCCACTTCACCCTCAGTCAGGGCACCTAGCCCTGTGACAGGCTTCCTGAGCAGGGGCCCCATTCTTCTCTCACCCTAGCACCAGTCACTATCCACTCTAGAGGTTCCTCTCTTCTCATAAATAAGACTCTGGCCCATAGTGTCAGATGGGAAAATACCTTGGTGTAATGGTAGCCTGAAAGTACACTACGAAGCAAGCTATCCTAGAGATCATGGAGCGGAAGTCTCACAGACCAGATTAAGGTGCTCAAATCGTACCGTTTATTAAATCAATAAATGGTGTAGTTATGATGGTGTTGTTATGAGGACCAGAGCTGAGGTTCAAGCAGAGGGCATGCTACAGACAGGTGCCTGGGACCAACACTTGATCTATGGGAGAAACATAGGGCAAGTCTGACTGGCCACAGCTGTAGCTTACCAATTATCCTGATGAACAGCTATGAATTGTATTTGCATTCCTTGGGCAGAAGACACATGGGGCCAAAATGGGCATCACCAAAGCCTGGCTGATTTAAGATCTGATGAATAGTGAGGGCCTCACATGCCTCATGCATATTCAGTGTATCATGAATATTTAGTGTCTACTAGTCCTTTCACCTCTTTCTATGTATGTTCACATACATATGCTCTACTTAATTTTTTTTAACATGTCACCCAGGTTACTAACTTATCTAGTGCTAACCCGTAAGTTTCATCACTCAATTTGTTTTCTTTTTTTCTGTAGCAGAATTGTGTATTCTCAAACAATTCTGCAAATGCACGTTACCTGCAAGAATACCCAGAGCTCTACCTAGCCTCTGGCTGGTGAGGTCAGCAGGCTGTTTGGGTGGCCCCTTTCTCTGCTTCTCTCCCCTCATTTAGCTCTAACTCAGCAAAATCCCAAGCCACTAGTATACCAGGTTCACTACTCCGCCTGTACCATACCAGACAGTGATGTCAGAAAGGAAATTTGACCAAGAAACTTTAGGGAAAGAAAATAAGATCAGTCCAAGAAGGAGTTTCTCACCCAATTATTTACTAAACATTTACTGACTTGTGCTGGGTGAAGATAAAACCAATATACTTCCTGTCCTTGTGGAAGAAAAGTCTTATAAACATATGAAAACAAAACTCACCACTTACTCTTGCAGTAAGTATTTGCTAATGCCCTACTGTGAGTGAAGCTCTGAGAATATGTGGATAAATTAAATATGGTTCCACTCATCCATTCAGCATACAAGTACTGAGCAACACCCCACCCTCACAAGGTACCCTCCTGGCACACGGATCTGATTTCAGTTCCTGAACACATCATGCTCCCACTTGCCTCCAGCCTTGGCACATCACTCTTCTTAGAGCCCTCTCCCCTTCCCACACTGCCCCTTCACCTGGCTGGCTCCTTCTCTTCCTTCAGGTCTCAGCTTAAATCTCACTTTCTTTGAGAAGCTTTCCCTGACCCCCAAATCAGGATGAGGATCCATTCCTAAACACTTCTATAACAGCCCCTCTCTCCCCTGCTCCTCAGTCTTAGCATTTCATTGTATTGTAACTACTTGGTTACTTGCCTATTTCCCTTACTGAGTTATAAACCCTGGGATGACAAGGACTTTGTCTGTATTATTCACCACAAGACCCCAGTGACACATGGTAGGAACTTAATAAATATTTTATTATAGTGAATACTGGGCCTTGATCTGGGTAATGGGGACAAAGAGATGAATTGGACATGGTCCTTGCCCTTGAGGAGCTCCAAGTTCAAGGGGAGACAGAAGACAGAGGACAGGCCCATGGAGAGAGATTCTGCAGTGCCCTACAGCAGTGGCATCACAGAGAGATGAACAGAGTGCTGTAGGAACACAAAGCAGGGAGCAACTCACTCTGACTGCTTAGGGAGGCTTCACAGAGGCGTTAATACTTGACCTGGGCCACGAAAGTCAACAAAGCTTCAAAAAGGTATGGAAGGACATTCAAGGTGTAGGGAACAATGAATGAAAAGGCACACAATTATATCCAGAGGATAGAGAAGGGTACAATGTGGCAGGATCACCTGGCTAATGGGGTCCAGCTCTGAAGCCCCTCACCCTAGGTCTGACACCAGACTCCACCAAGACATTGGCATCCTGAGCTGGCTGATAATTTGGAGCCCTTTCAAAGCAACATTCTTTACATATTTGTCCAGCACTTCTTTGGTAGAGGGCAGAGAAAAAGTGATTTTCTCGTAATTGTATACTTAGTAATTCACTTCCACTGGCCAAAGCAGAATCATTACTCTGGAAAAAAAATAAAATGACAAAAACAGTTTTACTTTTTAATAGTTCTTATTTCCTTTTCAAGTTGTTCGGTGATTTTTCAAGCCAAACAACTCAGAAGGCATATTAAAGATTTAAACTTCACATTAAAAAAAAAAAAAAAATCCCTCACTCTCAAAAACAGCCTCTCCCTGGTGTTACATACTCACTTTCTGGACATCACCTGCCTGTGACCATTGGTGCAGGTCACACCAGAGAGTTCACATCAGGGAGGAGTGTTTCATATTTTCACATAAGATCACTGTGTACTTAAGTAGATCAAATGCTTATGTTTTATCAACTTATCCCAGTGATGTTTTAGCCCCCACCTCCCCTCAAAGATAGTTTTTCCCCCATACACACCTCTAATCCAGCTCTGACCTGGAAGGAGGAGGAGAATTCTGTCCCATCCTATCCTGGCCCTCTGTCCCTGCTTTCAGGCTTCCTCTGGTTTGAGTGTACGGAGGTGTGGATCGAGGTGGAACTTCCTGGATGTGGTCATCCTGTCCCTGTACCTGGTGGCCTTTGCACTGTGCCTCCTCCTGGCTGGGCTTGCCCACATGCACTGCCAGGATGTTCCAGATGGGACTGCTTGCCACTATTTCACTACTGCTGGTGAGAGCCACACCAACTCATCCTGAATCCCCCAGTCCCTCCTCTTCCTTGGCCCTCGGCCCCAACCCCCATTCCACCCTACACTGAGAGAAGTGAGTGGTGCACCGAGGATCCCCAGTTCTTGGCTGAGGTGCTGTTTGCTGTCACCAGCATGCTCAGCTTCACCCGCCTGGCCTATATTCTGCCAGCCCACGAGTCACTGGGCACTTTGCAGATTTCCGTTGGCAAGATGATCGACGACATGATACGGTGTGTACCACCCCTCCTCAGAGCACCCTCCTCTCTGATAAACTCCACTTAACCTCCTCCTGAAATTCCCCAGCTCCAGTGTAGCACATGAGTTCTTAACCTGGTTGCTTGCATAGACTCGAGGGACCTGTGACTCACTGAAACTATAGGCAAAATTTACAGTATAAGTGTAAATGTGTATTTCTCTGCAGAGAGGGTCTATAACTTCCATCCAATGCTCCAAGAGGCCCATGACTCCAGAAAAGGTTAAGAACCCCCGACCGCAGAAAGAGACCTGTGTTGGGAGTTCTAGTCTTAGTTCTGTCCCTGTCTCTCTATGTGATCCCTCTCTAGGCCTCAGTTTTCCCATCTGTGTGGTAAGGGTGCTGGACTCAGGTCCTTTTGGATTCTTTCCACTCTAAAACTTCCCTTTGAACCCATGACATTATCTGGTCTTCTTGGTGCTTATCACCTAATCATTTACAGCCAAACTTGGCCTCTTGCCCTAATCAGAGCCCACAGTTAGTACCTGCTCCCCTGGTAATCCCCTCCCTGAAGTGGGACTGGAATGAGTTACCTTGGTGGGAAAAGCCCTGGTTGCATCTGTGACCATGTTCAGCTCAGCTTAGCTTGGAGGAGACCCTTCTTTCCACTCCACCCCTGGGCTCTCTAGCCCTCCCTGTTGCGGGTTTACTCATCCCCACATGTGGCTTTAACTCTTCTGATGACAACTCCTATTCAGAAGGACTCTCTGATGCCCACCCATACCTGTACCACATCTCACCATCTCAGTCCCTCCCTGGGAGACTGGCCCATCTCAGCATTGACTGATTGGACTCAGTACCCTTTATTCTTGAAGGAAGGCGCCTGCTTTGGCACCCACTTTAAATCTCTTCTCACTTCCCACCACTAATTTCTCTATTCTTAATAACAACAAAATTAAATACTTGTCAAATAGAGAAGCTGGGCTAGGGAGGCGATCACCTGCCCCCCAATCCGTCTTCTTTCCAGAGCCTGACTTTTCCCACAGTGGAGACCTGCACTGACCCTTCCCTGTCGCACCCCCTGTCAAGTTCATGTTCACCCTCATGATCATCCTGACCGCCTACCTCTGTGGCCTCAACAACATCTATGTGCCCTACCAAGAGACACAGCGGCTGGGCAAGAATGCTGGGGCAGAGACAGGGTGGGCAAATGGGAGTATGGGACCTTGCAACTTGGAGCTTTAGTGTCATTCTTCCTTCCCCCTCCCTCCCTCATTTATCCACCCAGTAATTAATTCTCTCGTTTGCTTTCTCCCTCATTGATTCACTCTGTCACTAAGTCATTTGTTCATCTACTCATTCATTAGTTCAATCTCTTACTTTTCCCCCAAACTTTTTATCTTGAAAAACTTCAATCCTATGAAAAAGTTAAAAGAATAGTACAGTAAACATCCATATGCCCTTCATCTAGCTTCAATTGTTAACGTTATTCCACATTTGCTTGATCTATTGCTCCCTTTATTCTTTTTTCTGAAATATTTAAAAGTAAGTTGCAGGCACCATGACTTCACCCCTAAATAGTTAGCATTACCATAAAACCATTATCATCCGCAAAAAATTTAACATCAGTACCATAATATTATCTATTATATAGTCCTTATTCAGATTTCCACAATTGATAAACAAAATCTTTATAGCTTTTTAAAAATCCAAGATGATCTAATCAGGTATTATCCATTGCACCATGTTATCATATCTCTTTTGTTTTCTTTAATCTAGAACACTCTCCCTACCTTTTCATTGTCTTTCATGACAATTAAACTTTTTTCAAGAGCACAGATTAAGCTATTGTGTAGAGAGCATTTGCCGCAATTTGGGTTTATCTGTTTTGGCAAGAACACAACCTATCTAGATGAGGTGTACTTCCCATTGTATCATATCAGGAAGCACATGATGTCAGTATGGCCCATTGGTGATGCCACTTGGTTAAGACAGAGTTCAGCAAACCTTTCCATTGTAAAGGTATCTCTTCCTCTTTCAGTAATGGGGAAATATATTGAGACTGTGACTAAACTGCTCCCTTGCAAACTTTCACCCACTGGCTTTAGCATCCACAGATGATATTTACCTGAATCAGTTATTACAATGGTGGTTGCAAAATGCTGATTTTCTACTTCTATCATATCTGCATTTGTTAGCTGGCCTTCTTCTATAAAGAAGTGCTTTCTCCTCCCCTTCTCCTTTGTGAATATCACTACAGACTCAAAGACCTTTTAAATATAATAATCCATTACAGTCATAATTCTTTTTGATGTTCAAATTGTCCTAAATATGGCAAAATATTCATTTTCATGTTTGCTAGTTCACTCATTCATTGTTCATTCATTCATTTACTCACTTTTTAAATTAATTCACTTTCTTAGTCATTCAGTCATTAGCTTGCTTTGGGTTTCTGGTTTTTTTTTTTTTTTTTTGAGTTTACACCCATTTACTGACACCTTCTTTGTAGTAGGTCCTGTTCCTAGCACTACAAACAAAGACAGGAGAAATGAACTAGACCCAGTCCCATGGACAAGATAGCCATGTGCACAAATAAGTGCAATTTTGGAATGATGAGATAGAGTGACACAGTGGCTGAAACAATGGCCTTAAGCATAACAACAACTATGAGGACGGCACAGGACTGGGCAGTGTTTCGTTGTGTTGTGCATAGGGTGGCTATGAGTCGGAGTCGACTCAATGACACCTAACAACAAGTGCTATGAAAAAGGAGGGCTTATGTTGAGGGTGCCTAGAGGAGGAAGCCCCTTCCTCTGTGTTGGATAATCAGGGAAGGCTTCACAGACAAGGGAGAATCTGGACTCTACCTTGAAGGATCATGGACTTCAGAGAAGAGACAGAGCATCCCAGGCAAAATGGGGCTATACCAAAGCAAGGAGTTACATTGGGAAATAGTAAGAAGTCCCCTGTTGTTGGTGCATGAAGGAAATTTTGTGAGAGGAGGCTGGAGAGGATAGCAGGAGCCAGGCCTTGGAGTTTGAAGGTTCTGATGAGAAGCTTAGACTTTCTCTAGCAGGCCATGGAACTCCAGGTGGCCTCCCAAGCAGCCACCCAATCATAAAGTCGCATGAGTACAACTGTGTGATGGTTTCATTGGTGATGCTGAAGTACCCACACTTGGGCCTGTGGATATTTGTCAAGGTTTTTTCATGGTGTATATGGAAACTTTATTCAGACCACTCCTCTTACCGTGAATCCTTGTTCATGTCCCGGCTTCAGGATGTCAGCTTAAAGGACCTGAGCTTGCACAGTTTAAAGATAAAGCTCAGCTTGAATGTCATCTGCCATGCCAGGGATAGTAACTACCCATTCCAGCCTGCTTCATGGCTCCTGGTGGTATCAGTCACTCCACAGTAGCAAGGGAAGACTGTACCCTCCTGGGCTGTTCATTCATGGGTGGCAGCTAATTAAGTCAAAAGTATTTTTACTATAGACCAGACTTAATGGTTTAATTGAGACTGGAGGGACCCTGGAAGATGTGGCCGCCAGGCTCTCTGTTAGCCCAGAACTAAAACCATTCCCGAGGCCAACTCTTCCGACAAAGGTTAGACTGGACTATGGGTCATAAAATGATACTCATGAAGAATGTTCTTCTTAGCTCAAGTAGATACATGACATTAAATGAGTGGCTCTCATGCGGAGGTGAGATGAGAAGGCAGAGAGGGTCAGGACCTGGATGAATAGACACGGGAAATCCGGAGTGGAATGGGAGAGTGAGTGTGCTGTCACCATATAGGGAGAGCAAGTAGGGTCACAAAACAATGTATGTATAAATTTTTGTATGAGAGATTAACTTGAATTGTAAACTTTCACTTAAAGCACAACAATAAAAATTAAAAAAAAAAAAAAAAAAGTATTTTTACTAAAAATCTCAGGTAGGCTGCATGGTGGACATCTGGACTGAGGATAGTTAGGAACGTTTAATGGTTGACAAGTAGAAGTAGAACACATCAGATTAGCATTTAGAAAGAACACCCTAGATACAGTGTGGAGGATGAATTAACAGGAGAAATATTGAGGCCAGGAGACCAGTGTGAGGTTGTTGCAGTAATCTAGGTCTGAACTGGCACTGAGATGGAGAAGATAATTCACAAAAAAATACAATAGGAGGAAGAGTCTGTGATTTGGTCTGTGACTAATAGACATGCACATTCAGCTGGGGGATGGGGAAGGGAGTTCAGGAAGGGCTTCCTACAAGAGGTGGCACTGGAGTTGCTACCACTGTGGTCCAAACCACCATCATCTTATCATCCAGACCATGGTGACAAGTTTCTTAACTGGTCTCCATCCCTCTACTGTTTCACCTGCTTCCTTCCATTCTACTTAAAGCAGCCAAAGTGGTCTTTTCAAATGTAAATTAGGTATCACCCCTCCACCTAGAACTTCATGGCTTCCTATTGCTCCAAGGCCACAGTAAGGACTTTTGTTTTTATTATACAAGGTCATGCTTGATCTGGCTGGTCCCCACTTACCTCTCAAAAGTCTCTCTCCCCTTTACTCTCTGAGACCAGCCATGCTGGCCTTCTCTGAGTTCTTCAAATGTCCCCATGTTCCTTCTACTTTGGTAATGCTCTTCTTCACCCTACCTTCCTTTTCAAACCTGGTTGATTTCCACCTATTCTTTAGAGTTCAGCTTGAATGTCATTTTCTCAAAGAAGCCTCCCTGACCCCCAGACTAGGCCACACCCAAGTTCTACATCTCATTGCATCCTATGCTGCTCCTTCATAGCACTTACCACAATTTTTAAGTGTTAGTGTAATTAGTGTCTATCTCACCCCCCAGAACATAAGGTCGTTGAAGACAGGGACTATGCTTATCTTATTCATGGCTGTATCTTTAGCACCTGTGGTGCTACTATGTACTCAATAATTATTTATCAGTTGACTAAAGAACAAAAATTGGAGCTCAGCAATGGCGAGTGTCTGTATGGACCAGAGTGGCCCAGAGGGCTTCTGGGAAGCAGAACACCTTTGTCTGGGTCCTGGAGGGCAAGGAGGAGTGTGTCTGGGTGGAGCTCAGGCTCATCTGCCACCCCTCACTTCCTGTCCCTTACTTGGCCTGGCATATTAGTTTCAACGAGACATTCCAGTTTCTGTTCTGGACCATGTTTGGCATGGAAGAGCACAGCGTGGTAGACATGCCTCGGTTTCTGGTGCCTGAATTCATGGGCCAGGCCCTCTACGGCATCTTTACCATCGTCATGGTCCTTGTGCTGCTCAACGTGCTCATTGCCATGATCACCAACTCCTTCCAGAAGATTGAGGCACGTGGACTGAGGTCAGCTTAGGGCAGGGAGAAGAAGGGAAGAGCTGATGGAAGGGAATAAGGTGAAAGTTGTCAAGACCCTTGGGTTCCTACTCTGCCTCCACTATTGCCTTGTTCGAGACTTCGGACAAGTTTCCTCTTTAGGCCTCATTTTCCTCATCTGTAAAATGAGGATCTTAGTGATGTTATCAGAATCTCTAGACATCAAGTCTAGTGCTCTTTCCACTTTATGATGATTGTGGGAGTTGTGGAAAAATAGGTGGGAACATGAGAAGAGAGAGGAGAGGAGATAGATGGGTTAGAACTTGAAGGCTGGAGAATAGGCTGGGTGTCAGAATGGTAAAAGAAAATGGAGAGGAAGAAAGGAAAGGCAGAAGCCAGCAGGGGAAATGTGGGTGATAGGTGAGGATGGAGATAAGAACAGGGGAGAGGAAAGTGTTTGACACGATGGAGAATAAGAGGTGTGAGGATTGGGGAAAAGAGAAGGCAGACTGAGTGGGCAAAAGGGCTGGTACCAGAGTGATCCTTGCACAGTCTCCTACTTTCTGGTCTCCAGGATGATGCTGATGTGGAGTGGAAGTTTGCTCTCTCCAAGCTCTACCTGTCCTACTTCAGAGAGGGCCTGACGTTGCCTGTGCCCTTCAACATTCTGCCTTCCCCCAAGTCTATCTTCTACCTTCTCAGGTGATTACTTCAGAGCTTTCACCCCCAGTTCCCCAAAGATCCAGCCCACTTCACCCCCTCCCCAGCTCCTGCCCCAAATTTCCTAGGCCCTGTCACCACTTCCCACTATCTAAATCTCTCAGGAGAATTTTCCGGTTCATTTGCTGTTGCTGCTCCTGCTGCAAAAGCAAGAAGCCAGACTATCCCCCAGTCCCCACCTTTGTAAGTACCTCATCTGCTTGTTTGTCTCCCTCATATCAGGACTTCAACTATAGTGTCTATGCCATCTGTTTGTCTGTACACGCTTGGCTTGTCTGTCTTTCCATAAAGCCTCTTCTCAATTCCCGCTCTCCCACGTGGCTTCCCTTTCCCTCTTTCTGGCGCTGGCCATTTCCTAAATTTCCAACTCTGTTGTCACCAGGTTAAAGAGAAGTTCATACATCCTTCTCCCAAACCACCCAACACCCTCTAAGCTACAGACCAGCCTTTTGCCCTAAACTGGGCCAAGACCTGGTTGAACCTTTTTGAAAAAATGTATTAGAGAGCCAAGGGAAGAATGCCCCTACAAACTTGGAAATTAAAAGGCTGATAGAGGCCTGAGAGAGGGGGCCATGCCTGCAAGGCCTCCCTGACCCTTCATTATTGCCCCTAACCCAGTCTGGCTTGGTAATTAAAGCCCTTTTCTAATTCAGACCAGCATTACTGCCAGGTCTGCAGAGGATTCTAGCCCCTTAAAACTTTTTACCTGAGGATCTTGCTAAGCTAGAGCCTCCAGGCCAGCTATATGGGACTACAAGTCATCGCTCAAGCTCTGAGGTCCCTGGATACTCTGGTTGGTCAGTAGTTTGTTCAACAAACACTTACCAAACAAAGCACACCTATGTTGGAAACAAAGAGATACATAATGATGGTCCCTTGAGGTGCTGACCAGTACAGAGTAACAGACAGAAACAGATTGTGATAGAATGACAAACCTATGATAGAAAGAAGCACATGGGGGCTATTGGAAGCCCAGACTCAGCCTCAGGAATCAGGGAGGCATCCCAGAGGTGCTGAAGGCAGAACAGAATCCTGAGGGGTAAGCAGGAGGTTGGTGGGCAGATAAGATGGAGAAGGAAGTTCTGGGCTCAGGAAACTATATGTGCAAAGACATGGAGAAACCATGACACATTCAAGAAACTAAATGCCAAAGATTCCCTAGTTCCCACCCCAGCCTGGCTCCAGGATATCCTACATGGACACCTCTTTAAACACCTTCCCAGATCTCTGACTCTTAAATCCGGAATTACTGCCTTTTCCCTCCAGCTACTTCCTGGCCCTGTCCATATTACCCAATGCATATTTTTTAGACTACTTGTCAGGGTTACTTCCACCCTTGGGTGAAACTCAGCTTCTTCACCTGAGGTTGTATTCAGTTCCCTGGCCCTGTGCTTGTCTGTCTCACTGCTATGGGCAGAGTCACTGTGTCTACCAGATCTCTCCACACCAGCTGGGGGTCTCCTCAATCCTCCATTGCACCTCCACTGAGGCCCCACGGTCTTCCAGCTGCTGCCACCTCACTAGCCTGCTCTTTGGTGATTCAGTCAGGTGTCCCTTCCCCACCTGTCCTGCATCCTCAGGAAATGACCTCCCCAAGTTCTTTATTTTACACAAGAAAAATGCTTTAATATTCTGTAGCCAAAAAGGGCCAATCATTCTCTTTCATAACTCTCCCTGTCCCATCTCTGTCTATCTCCTTTTAAGATATTTAATAAAATGTTTTGCTTTTTTACATTATAAAAGTAAATACACTAAGTATAAAGTATTTAGAAATTAGATAAAACTAGATAAATAAAAATAATTATTTCTTAAGAATTTGCAGAGCCCCTACTCTGTCGGGCACTGGACCTCCCTGAGAAGTAAGTATTAATACCATCTCCATTTTAAATTTGGAGACATTCAGGTTTGGAGAGGTTGAATAATTTGCCTGAAGCACACAGCTGCTAGGTGGCTTAGCTGGGGTTTGAATCTGTGTCCCCCAAGTCCAGTGCTCTGCCTACTACATTGCTGCTACCACTTTTCATCATCTGCCCCCATCTGGTACTGTCCCAAGGTCTAAAACTGGACCCAGAATCAATCATTCTAGTTTGCATGATGATTTCCACCCCATATGCATGAGCAGGTCCATGCAAATGCCTCCTCACATCCCTAGCTCTACCCCTGTATGGAATTTGAAGGGCAAGGTTAGCTTGGGCTAACTCAACCCAACAAGTCCAGGGTTGAGTCAGTGGCAGGAGAGGAAGCTTAGCTCTGTACTGCTTGATCTCTGTCTCTGTCCACCACCCTTTCGCTTTCCAGCCCCCACAGCTCAACCCATTCCTCTATCCTCTACCTTCCAGGACTGCACTGTGGGAGCAGACCAGGGTCTAGGTGTGTGGCCTCTAGGGATAGAAAAGCTGCACAGGCTCTACCTCACTCCTTTATTACCTGGTGATTAGAGGATGCTGGAGGACGGGAATCTCCCTCACCTTCCTGTCTTTCCACTCCAGGCCAATCCCGGGGCAGGGACAGGGCCTGGTGAGGGAGAGCGAGGATCCTACCAGCTTCGTGTCATCAAGGCCCTGGTCCAACGCTACATAGAGACTGCCCGGCGTGAGTTCAAGGAGACTCATTGGAAAGGTTAGTCGCCCACCTCCAAGACTTCCCCATTCCTGTTCCGTTGCTCACCTGGGATAAATGCCCCACACCCAGACTCACACCCCTCACCCAGCCTGCATTTATGTGTCCGCATCCTACACTGCCCTTGGAAGCCACACTTGCACAGTGTAGCCCCTTGTACTCAATTACCCCCTGGCCCATTCAAATATTTATTCCACTCATTTCATGTAATCCCTCATTCCTGCCCTCATTCTCTCACGTGCTCATTTATTCTCTCATTCACTCACCCATTCACTCATTCACTTAATTCATGATTCATTCATTCATTCACTTATTCACTCATTTAACCAACATTTATTGCTATGTCCTCCTTTGTTCCAGGCCCTACATGAGGGTGGGGGACTGTGTAGAGCAAGGACACATGGGAAACTTTCAGTTTGGTGAGGAGAGAGACCATCATACCAGGCAGAGAGCACTTAGCTAAGAGAAGCACAAATTGCAGTGTGAGCCCAAAGGAGGCAAAGAACCTATCATTTTGAGAATATCATGGAAAGTAGTTAGGGAAGGAGGAGGTGGAACTTGAACTGGGCCCTGAAAGATGAGGATGAGCTGGACAGGTGTAGATCAGGGAGAGGGCTCATAGAGGTAGGTGTACAAATCTCTCTACCCATTAAAAACTTTTCCACCCGTATGACGCCTGATCCCTTTTCTGGCCCCAAGACTTTCCTTCTTTATATCTCCTAAACTAATCCCTCCCTACCCAGATTTTGCCTGCCCACCTGATCCCCAGCCCATAAGGTAGTCCCTCACCTCCTCCAGTTCTCCTCCCTCAGGACCCCCAGACAGGGCATCCCCTTGTGTACTGTTGGGGGTAGAAGTAGCACAGGGTAGGCTTATCTTCTGAGAGACCTCCCCTCAATACTCCATCTCCCCCAGACCTGGGCAACAGACTTACAGAGCTGACCAAGACCGTATCTCAACTGCAAAGTGAGGTAGCTGGTGTACGGTGGACTCTCACAGAAGGTGGGACACCCCGGCCACCCAGCGGTGCCAACATCCTCAGTCGCTACATCACCCGAGTGCATAACAGCTTCCAGAACCTGGGGCCCCCCATCCCTGAGACCCCAGAGCTAACATTGCCAGGGGTTATGGAAGCCCAAGTGTCTTCAGACACTGGGCCTCAGAATGCGGGAAGGGCGAGGACTCCAGCTTCTGGAGAGTCTGGCCCCTCCTCCCCAGCTCAAGTGCTAGTGCATAGAGAACAAGAAGCAGGTGGGGCTGGGGACCTGCTCCAGGAGGAGGGTTTGGAGACCAAGGGAGAGTCCTAGACAGTGGGAGGGTCCCTTTTTCTGTTGCTGAGTAAAACAGCCTAGATGAGCCTAGTAGAGGCTATGTTGCTTTCTTTGCCTCAATAAAATTTCTGTTCCTGTTGTTGGATGCCTCCAGAGTGTGTGAGAATCCCTGCCTCTTGATGTTTTGAGGTCCTTGCATCCCCACAGAAACGGACCCTTGAGGGAGCAGGGCAAAGAGAAAATGGCTTGCTCTGGGGTCCCAGGTATTTTGGGCTTAGGATTCGACTTTGGGCTTCCTCAAGTGCTTTGGTGGAAGGAGTTCTGGGCTGAGGGGCAGGAGACCTGGTTTCACCATGGCAAGTGGCTTCCTTCCTTGGCCTTTCATTCCTCATCTGACAAATAGGGCCTTCAGGGTTGTTGTGAGGAACCTCTGGCTGCTAATGCTTCCAGATTTGCAAGTTACAATGTATGACAGGGACCAAGAGGTTATTCTTTTTAGTCCCTCAGTCCTGAGTCTGGCATGGCTACAGCAAGGCAGATGTTCCAGCCTCACAGAAAACAACAATTGTGAAATTTGATGTCTCCACACTGCAACACCATTTAATCAAGTGGTCATTACAGCACTACCCTTGTTTGTCCCAGAAAGTCTCCACCACATAGTGAGGTTCCCTCCACCCTGCCATGGCCTCAAGTCCCCCCACATGCTGGCCCTGGGGAAATGGCTGCTAGGGCTAGGTCCAGAACCATGTGCTTGCTTCGAGGCTGATCAAAGACCCCTTCCTTCATATGAGAGCCACGAGTTCCCAGGACTCCTAAACGGCAGGCATTGGATTTTCAGGGGTCAGCTCCTGAGAACTGGAAGCCCCCAGGGGCCAAAATCATGGTCTTCCAGGAGAGCAGAGAGAAGGCGTCCTTGGAGGGTGAGTCTGGCTGACCCCCTGCTGGAGAGAGAAGGAAAAAAGTTGGCAGTGGGAGTGGAAACAGCTGAGGGAGGGAGCAGGAGGATAACTCACTTGGTGCTGACACACAGTCCCGCCTCTTCTCTCCTGCAATAGACAGCACAGTGAGGCCTCCATGTAGACAGACCCTCATACCCCAAACTTCCCACCAGGCCCCAGCACGGGCCAGTCTCCCTCTCAATCCATCTTTTTCTTCTCTTAAATGCAAAATTCTGACTTCCCTTCCTTCTTTCCCCAGGATCTTTCCAGATTGCCCATCCATCCCTGCTCCCACCCAAGCCCATCACTCCTCCAATTCTGTTTCCCACTCAGCACTCAGGAATAGCATTTCTGTATCTTTTTTTTTTTTTTCTGTCCAAAAACATTTATTGAGCATCTACAATGTGCAAGGCATGTAAGCCATGCATGCTGCGAGGAGAGTGCACAGAAGAGTCAGATTAGCTGCGCCACTTCTGGGTTGATGAAGGTCCAAATGAACAAGCCCAGAATCTCCTGGGTGGTGTGATGGTCCCCACTGGGCCACCGGCCAGCCCTCTCACCCACATTTCTGTATCTTGTCATTCCCACCAAGCCCTCAGCCTCCTGAAATCTGAAGCAGTACTCATTTCTCCTTCCTCTGCTTGCTAACCTCCTTGACCAGGTCTTTTAATTAAGGCTAGGATCAGAAGAATGTTAACACCCTCTTAGGTTAGACTATCTAAAGATAGCGGATAGAACTTTTACAGAACATCTGTGAATCATCTGAGCATATTCACAGATCCAGAAAACACTTAGAGGACCTTCTGAGAGTTAGTAGAACCTGAGTCAGTAAAGGACAATAACCCCAGCTGACTTCTAGCCCTCAACTTTCCCCATTAACCAAGTGGGTCTCCTTGAAGTCCCCGGAGATTGTGTAGGGACATCCTGGTTTATTTCACACATCATTTCCCCATGCACAGCTCACCACCCAGATAGGCGCAGTTAAAGTGGCTGCAGGTCTGATTATAGCTCCAGAGAGTCACTAGGCTCCAGGCTCCATCCTGGGAGAACCTGGTGACCAAGAAGACTTCATGGGGGGGAATCAGCACCTCACGCTCCTCGGGAAAGACAGACAAGGCCTGGATAGGGGCCCCAAAGCAAGTCCTTAGAGAGAAGAAGGTGGCATTACCAAATCTGCGGGCCACTGCCTCATCCAGGGAGCTGGAGGCGAACTGTCCCAAGCGAACAGAGTCCCCCAGCTTCTTGGGTTCAAAACGAAGGCTTCCCACACCTCGGAACACCACCTCCCCAGGTTCCCCGCTGCAGCCCCCACTGCCCCGCAGGAGTTGCAGGGCCCGGATCAAGTAGAAATGCAGGGCCTTGAAGCGGAAGTGCCTCATGTAGAGGTCCCGGGAGCCACCACCCGTCCGCACAGCCTGGTTCAGCTCCGAGTACAAGGTGTTAGATGAGTTGGTGTAGACCATGATGGCCACTGCGTGCTGGGCCTGGAAGCCAGGGGGCAAGGTGAGCCCTCGATGCCTGTGCTCCCAGGCCTCCTGGGCTGCCTCCCAGGACTCCCGCAGCAGGGCATGGCGGGCCATCTCCTCCTTTAGCAGGGTGGCTGCCTTCTCCTCCATTTCCTCTGAGCAGCCCACATAGGCATCATCAAAGGTGTCTGGGGCCAGGCCCAGGGGCAGGATGGGAACAGCCTGGGCCTATGGAGGTAAGAAAGAGAGGAGCCACACAGGACACGGTATGAGTTCAGAGCACTGGACAGGGGTCCCGGTGCCAGATCAGTTCAGAAACACAGAATCTTTTTTCTGTGTCCAAATATCTGATGTATGCAAACAGTTTGGCAAGGGCTCAAGAGGAGGCTTAAATAACACAGGCTTTGGAGTCAGACATACATGGATTCAAACCCTGACTTCACCACCTACCAGCTGTGGGATCTTGGGTAAGACTCAAATTCTCTGGGCTTCAGGTTCACCACCTATAAATTAGGGATAATTCCAACCTCATAATATTACTGTGAGGATTAACATATAGATCTTCACTCTGCACAACCTAAAATGGGTCATCTTGTCATTACAGAAGTTCCCGCATTCAGTGGGAGGTGTGTCTAGACAACCTCTAAATGCTTTTCTGGCCTTAAGATTCAGTCTACAGATGATACACAAATGTAGAGCCAATGCCAACTTCCACCTCTGATATCTGACCCCTTCCCATCCTCCTTAGACACTCTCTCTCCTCCTTAGGAAGCCGTAGCAGGTACTCAGCCACCACACCAAGTCATTGTCAGCTACTCCTGCTTTTGAAGCTCTATTCCCAAACCTGGAGGAGGCGGGTGAGGAAGGGTCAAGTCCTCAGCCACCACACCAAGTCACTGTCAGGTCTGAAACTCAAGAGTCCTCTACTGCTTTAGAAGCCCTTATCCGCAAATCTGAGGTGGTAGATGGGGTGGGGGAGGTCAAGCCCTGGCTGCCAGGACTGCAGCACACAGGTAGCCCAATGGGGTTTGCCTAGGTTGGACCTATGGTGGGAGGTGGGAAGTGTAGAGGAGACAGAGGCAATCAGTTGGGAGGGATGGTATAAAGGAAGGACGAACACTGAGGGAACTGTGGGTGGAGGTGGGGATTCTGGGAGTGGTGATGTGAACTTGGAGCTCCCTGCAGGGAAGGAGGTTCCTGAGAGGAAGACCATTAAGAGGAGTGGGATCCTAGAGACGAGTCCCTGGGAGAAAGTGTTGAGTCAGCCTCCCACTTCACCTCTTCGGGGTGTGTCCCCCAACTACCCTAGTGACAGAGGATAGGTCCCCAGTGTTACCTGCCAGAAGGTGTGGAGGCCCATGCAGCTGAGGGCGATCAGCAGAGCCACCAACATCGTCCCTGGGGGAGACTCTGGAGGGCCAGGTCCGGGTGAGGGTGGGGCCAGCGGCTGCGGAATTCAGGCTATGATGGGCTGAGGGGTGGAGATCTGGACCCCTTCTTCTGCGGTGTGAGGGGTCCTTGGCCCAGGACTGGGGCTCGAGTGGGGCGTGGGTGGGTTCAAGGGCGGGCCTGAGGGCGTGGGCAGGGCCTTGGCCTTTATTGTCCCCCAGCACAAAGCCGGGTTTCTCGTCCCCAGACTCCTGGACGCCCCGATGGTCAGCGTCTCCTGCCCGGGGGCGTTTTTGGCGATGGTAACGGTGGGGCAGCCGCAGTTTGGCTTCGCTGGATAGAAGAGAGCGAGGGGGCCGAGGACCCACCTGGAGGTCGCGGAAGCAGAGAGCGGGAAGGAGCACTGGTGTTTGGCGCTAGCCGGGGGCTAACGTCTGGGCGGGTGCTGCGCAGTCCCGGAGTCCACTGATAAATAAAGTCCCAGCAGCTAACTATAGCCCCCGCGGCGGTAACCCGACACCGCCCTTCCCCTACAACCGACACCGGGGTTGGGGGGAGCGGGAGTGGCTGGGGAAGGGGCTGTGGGGCGAAACTCCCCTTCCCTAGGACGATGGGTACTTTCTCGGAACACGCTTTGGCTCCGGGGCGCGGGGGGGTGGGTGGTGGGTGGGAGTGGACTTGTGAGACTTGGCTTCTCCCTCTCCAGTCCGCTAGGCCAAGGAGCCCCGTGAGGGTCCCGCCTGCCTAGAGGTCACCCTCGGGCCCTCCCTGATTTGCGTGTAATTTGCACATGGCCCGCGTGTTGCGTCACGCCTCCAAGTAACTGAGTTCCCATTCCCCTTCCTTCTCAGTCCCTTTCCCCCACCTCCCCCAGTCTGTAGACCAGATACAGAGCTCCTTGTCTCAGATCCTCAGAGTCCAGTCTTGCCCCCTCCCACTAGACCCTCTCTCTCTGAGGGTGACTCTCAGACTCAGGTAACCCAATGTTTATAAACACTAGCCTTTCCTCCCACCTCCTCTGGGTTTGTCTATAAATACCCTGGCTCCTAGTTTTGGATGCCCAATCAAAGGTAATGGGAGAAGGGGCCAGCTGGGAATCAGTAAATGGCTCTAGGAAGGGCTTTCTGACAGCCTGAGCCTGGTAGGCGGAAGGGTAGTTCCCCTAAAGTGGCCAGAGGAGTTAGGGGTCCTGAATGTCAGAATTTAAGCGATGCTGCCTGCTAGAGCTGGGGTGGGTGTGGTAGGGTAGACCTACCAAAAGGCCTCCATTCTAGTCTGACTCATTCATTTAGCCCCATCCCTGTTCCCTCCATTCCCTCATATTGTCAGCCAAATAAAGTTTCTTTCACCCAAAATCCTTCCTGTGGACCAAACAGGAAGAAAAACTGTGTGTCCAAGTTGGGGGAGAGAAGGGAGAAAGGTAGAGTGACATCCCCCAAAACAGAGTGCCTGTTAGGCAAACACAGCTTTAAGACAAGTTGTTGAATGAGATTGGCCACCCCAAAGTCCCCCTAGATTAGAAATTCAGGAGCCCTTCTACTGTTCACCATTATTGTGAAAAACAGCATCTTGCCTATATATCCTGCCTGCCTCTCTCCCTGAGGGGACTTGAGTGTATGTAGTTGCTGGAATAGAAGATCTTGTCTGGGGGACAGCAAGGACAGTCTCTGGGTCCAGATCAACTGCTTTGTCCTCTTCTCCTTAGCTTCTGGCTTTGGAATTTGCTACTTCCATCCTGGTACCTGGTACCTGAAACTCCAAGAAAGACCCCAAGAGATGGAGTCAAATCTACTCATTGGACATTGGCCCAGGGTGGGGCAGAAAGTCATCCAAGGTTACCTGGCAAGTCAGTGGTGGAGCTGGGACCCAGGACCCAGCCTCCTTAATCCAAGAATCTCTCCTTGCACCTAAGGTGAGTCTCGAAGTTCACGTGAAAGGAACACAACGTCAGGAGATGCTCTCCGAGGCCTCCTCAGTCTCTTCCCCTCGGATGATCAGAGCACAGGACCAAATTCAGCAAGGAGGCTTTTGAGCATAGTTGTCAGAGCCTGGATCCTTGCTGCCTCAACCCACCTTTTTGTCCCTAGGGATTCCCTTTTTCATGTGGGGAGCACTGGCCCAGGGCAGACTAGGTGGAGGCTGGTGTTCCTGAGCCTTGAGGGAACATCCAGAAATAGATGGGATGAGTGTCACATTTCTGAACAGCTGTGTGGGGGAGGTGAAGGGGGGGGATTGACAGTATAAAGGAGAAGCCTGTCCTCCCCCTCCCCTGGAGGCCAGTGCAAGAGCCCCGCACAGGCTTCCCCTCCCTGGAGAAGGCCCAGGTAAGGGGTACCTCCCCTCCTTCTAGGGGCCAGGCATGAAAAGGGTTTTTTGAGGGGAAGTTTGGGGGATTAATGGAGTTTTAGGATACATGAGGGGAAGTTTTGGAGGACCTTTGATTAAGAGATTTGGGATACTTAGGGATACTAGGCAGTTTGGGGAATCCTGGGGAGATATTTGGGGTCACTGCAAGGAGCTTTCCCAGAAGGGAATGTTCAGCAAGTGCCTGGATGAGGGGACACTAACAACAACAAAAATATATATATATGCCCTGGGCAGGATTGGGGGAAGGACAGAAAAAGGAACCCCAGTATCTCTACTTTCTTGCCTTCCATGCCCTCCCCAAGCCATTAGCCTAGCCGTCACCCCACGTTTCTTCAACACTAGTCACCAAGGTCAGCAATCCACCTGCTCTGCAGTGATCTATACTATTAGCTATACCCTGAAAGCCACACAGACTCTCAGCAAACATTCCTGGAGGGCTCACCTGTGCCTGGCCTCGGGCTGAGCCCTGGGAACAAAGAATCAGTCATACCTGGTGCCTGCCCTCAAGGAGCTCACAGGCTGGGAGCAGAGACAGACAAACACAAGGGCAGCACAGCGTGATTAGGGGGTGACAAGGGAAGGCACAGGGTGATATGGCAGCCCATAGGAGTCAGAGGGCTTCCTGGAGGCAGTGACCCCTGACCTAAGCCTTGAAGAATGGGTAGCCAGGAGAAGGGCATCCCAGGCAGAAGGGCAGTGCGTTCAGAGCTACCATGAGGGAAACAGCAGAGTCTCACCTGGAACTTTGTTCTGTACTGCAGAAGTCAAACGCAGGTGGTGGAAAGCTGAAGAGGTCATGGAGGGCCTCAACTACCAGGGTGAGGAGGTTGGGCTCTGCCCTGAGAGTATGGAGGAATTTTATAGTTGGTTTGGTTTTTTTTTTTTTTTTTTTTCCCTGGATGAGTTCTCATCTTTTCCCTCATAATTTTCATTCTGCAGTTTTACTCGGTATTTCGAGATATTTCTTCCAATCAGTTTTTGCACAGAGGGCTTTTAAGCAGGTAAGTAACACGGCCAGAGTTGTGTTTTAGAAGCATTGCTCTCCCTGTTCTGTGGAGGGTGGCTTAGCAGGGGTGACAGTGGCAGCAGAGGGATCAGTGAGGAGGCAGGTGCAAACCTGAGCCAGGGAAGGGGCAGTGGGGGTGGGGAAAGGGAAGAAGCTAGAACTTCTCTATGTTGTGCCCAGCATTTGTTGGCAACTACATTAATGTTTGATGACTGATTGAATGAAAGGACACTGGGGTGACCAGCTTGGGTGACTGGGTGAATAATGAGGATGGTACATTACATGAAACTCTTCTAATGGCAAGTTATCAGAAACCACCCTGAGCTAGATAAAGCCTAAAGAGGAACTTTTCACAAGGATACAAGGGCATCTTACCGAACCCGAGGGCCAGGAGTGAAGAATCTTCAGGAACCCGAGGAGGAGTCTTGCTCCACCTGTGCTTTGGCTTCCCCCTTCAAGTAGCTCCCTTTCCTCTCAGCCCTCTCTTTCCTCTTTCCCTGGGGATCTCATCCCTCCCCTGACTTAAATACCCCTATGACTCCCAAATCTCTCTTCTTATTGTCCATCCTGCTACCTCCTGGACATCTACCCCTGGAGAGTCCACGTATTGCTAACTGAACTCACCATTTCCCTTCCAAACCTGCTCATTCATTCAATACATTTTTAATTGAGCACCTATTATGTGCCAAGTACCCTGCTGTTGCTGGGACTACAGAGATGAGCAAGATGAGCTTTTAAAGTCTATGCTGCTCCTCCTCTGTGCTTGTGGGTTGGAGAAAGGAGACCTGGATGATATACCTGATCTTCCCCTCTCTCTCATTTCCTATATCCTATCAGACACTAAGTCTAGTAGATGCTACCTTGTAATTCTGGGTCCAGCCTCACTGGACCACTTAAGCCACATCATTCAATGTCCTTAGTCTGACTTCACAGTTCTCCCTCCTTACCATAGGACTTTTTTTGATCTATCTCTTTTACTACTTTGTAGGGCAGCAATGGAGATAGAAATAGGGCAGTGAAGAGGCAGCAAGAGAGGAAGTTGGCTCAGTGAGCTTTCATTACATATGCTGTAGGCCACAAAATCACAGTGGCATACAAGAAACACTTACTCTCATGAGTCTTCAAGTTGACTGTGGATTGGTTAATCTTCAGGCTTCAGGGTACCCGTCTGGCTCAGCGGGGCTCCACTTTGTTGTGGGTTGGGTTCAGGTCTGCTCCTCCTGTTCATTCTGAAGGAGCAATTCTGTTCCACAGTCATATAGTTTGAAACCCAAAAAAAGACCCTCTCTCTTAGTTTGGGTTCCCCAAAAGCAGACTCAGAGACAAGGACCAGAGATGAGGTTGGAGAGATCAACCAGGCTGATCACACAGAGCCTGGGAAGCCATCGCTATAGGAACTGGTGTGTTAGGACTTTACTTTAGGCCTGTTTTAGGGCCTTCCAGGTCTCCTATGCTGATTTCATCCTAGCTGAGCTCTGATTTCTTCTAGAAATCTTTCCTATAAAAATATGTACACAGGTACACAAGGATTTATATACATGGATATTCACTGCAGTATTATGTGTAATATCAAAAAAGTAGGAAAAAACCTAACTGTCCATCAATAAGGAAACGCTTAAATAAATTATAATTTAACTTATATTATGAAAAAGGTAGATATGTATGTACTGACATGGAAGGAAGTCCATGATATATTATTTCCTGGAAACAAAAAGTTATAGAATATGTGTGTGCTTAAGCGTGCTCCCTTTTTCTTTTTGAAAAAAATGATAAAAAACAGAAGCAGACTGTAGACAGAAAACTATGCTTGTTTGTGTGTGTGTATATATATATATAAACAGAAAACCAAACCCATTGCCATCGAGTCAATTCCGACTCATAGCGACCCTTTAGGATAGAGGGAAACTGCCCCATAGGGTTTCCAAGGAGCACCTGGTGGATTCGAACTGCCAACCTTTTGGTTAGTAGCTGTAGCTCTTAACCACTATGCCACCAGGGTTTCCTTATGTGTGTGTGTATATATATATATATATATATAAATATATACACATAATTAAATATTACGTTATTTGTAAATGCATAGAAAAAGGCCCCTGTGCAGGGGTCTGTATCACTGGTCACACCTCCCTCCCTACAGACAGGCATGGGGAAGACAGATGAAGAGAGAGACAAAAAAGAAAGGGGACTTGGTGATCCATACACTTTTTTTTTCTTTTTTTACAAACAAGCACACATTTCTTTGTAATAAACAGGAGGAAGAAAAAAAAAGTAATGACGTAGAAACCATCTGTTTTGATCCTGATCCAGTGCTGGATGCCCTCTTTTTGGAGCCACTTCAGGCCTTCCACATGCCCCCTCACAGGGAGCTTGTGGTTCCCTCTCATTTCCCTTGGGGAAGCAGGTACCCTCTGTACTCTCCCCCCAACTACCCCTTCCCCCCGTCCTGGAAGTCTATATCTGTCCCTGCCCTGGAAGGTTCAGTCTGCAGTAGGACTGCAAGGAGAGGGGAGGACCCTGCACCTCAAGCCCTGCTCTAAGCCTGTCACTGGAGTCTTGCTATCACCCCACCAGCTAACACCCCTGGATCTACCCCTGTTCCAGCCTCACAACCCCCATGAAGTGAAGACCAGACCCCTTACCATGGCAGCCAAGTCCCTTCATGCTTGGCCCCAGTCAGTCTTTCCAACATTCCTACTGCCCAAGCTCTGCCAGACTAGATGACACACCTTCTCTCTTTTATATTCTATGAGTTCCTACCTCCAATACCTTTGCTCTTCCCATTCTTGATCCCCAAAAGTTCTTTCCCACCCCAAACCTCAATCCTTTTTCTCCCCACCTCTACTTGTTGAAGTCTTATTCACCTATTCATCCTGCAAAACCCTGTTCACACATCACCTCCTCCAGGAAGTCTCCCATGTTCCTTTCAGAAAGAAGGGTCCTCTCCTCTGAGCCTCCATTTCTATCTTGTGATTCTCTGTGCCTAGCACTGGGAGTGGCACAAATTAGGTGTTGATTAATATTTATTAAACTGAACAGATTGACATTCCCATTTTCCAGATGAGTAAACTGAGATCCAGAGAGAGACAATAACTTGCCCAGAGTCACCTCCAACATGCAGACTCCTGCCATGATGTCTCTGCTGCTTGTGTCCCTTGGCCTCATGGAGGCACTTCAGGTATGGTCCTCTTACACTGTCCCCATCCAAGCAGGGAGTTGAGCTGTTGGATTTTTCCAAACTCTGGGAAGAGGAACAGAGGGAAGAGAAAATGCCCAAAGTTTCCTTGGTCTTAGGGAGCTTGCAGCCAGTAGTACCAATCCCCTTCCCCTCCAGGTGTGTTTGGGGCCCTAGGAACTGTCTCAGCAAGACAAGCCACACCTCAGTGGAGGGAAGAGCTGGATGATAAGGGTTAAATTCTCTCAGGGGTCCATCTTCTCGGGCCTCGATGCTCCCTTCCCTGCAGGCCCAGAACCACCTCATCAAACGACGAGACCTCTTCTCTCAAGAAACCCCCCTGGACATGGCCCTGGCCTCCTTCGATGACCAGTATGCTGGTTGTGCAGTGGCCATGAGAGCAGCTCTCCCAGATCTCAACCGCACGGAGTTTCAGGCCAACAAAGTGTATGCCGACGGGTGGGCGCTGGCAAGCAGCCAGTGGCAAGAGCACCAGGCCTGGGGGCCAGAGTGGGGCCTTATCGCTACCCTTCCGCCTCCGCCGCCCCCGGGCTTCCGCGACGAGCACCGGGTGGCCCTTCTGGCCTACACAGCCAACAGCCCCCTGCACAAGGAGTTCAATGCAGCCGTGCGCGGGGCAGGACGCTCCCGGGACTACTACCTCCGCCACTTCTCCTTCAAGACACTCCATTTCCTGCTGACTGAGGCCCTGCAGCTGCTGGGCAGGGGCCAGTGCCGCCAGGTGTTCCGAGGGGTTAGTGGGCTGCGTTTCCGGCCAGCAGGGCCCGGGGCCACCGTAAGGCTGGGGGGCTTTGCCTCTGCGTCCCTGCAGAATGTCGCGGCCCAGCATTTTGGTCAGGACACCTTGTTTGGCATCTGGACCTGCCTTGGGGCCCCTATCAAGGGTTACTCCTTCTTCCCTGCGGAGGAGGAGGTGCTGATCCCCCCCTTCGAGACCTTCCAAGTAGTCAACGCCAGCAGACCAGCCCAGGGCCCCGCACACATCTATCTACGGGCCTTGGGCAAGCGCAGTACATACAACTGCGAGTACATCAAAGGTGAGGAGGGCGCACGTGGTCAGCGAATGTGCGGAAGGTGGGCTTCCCCCGTCCTCGAGGGCCTTTGGCAAACCCAAGCCCCTACCCCACGCTTTCAGAGGCATAAATATTAAAAACAAACAGTGAGTAGGACCCAGTCACGTCCACTGATCCCTCCATCCCTTCCTTTCAAGGGGAGACATAACATTCCTAAGTAGTTTACTTCTTGTCCCAGGAGGTATCTAAGCTAACATTCCCACACCCTAACCTCTGCCACACTAGATGGCACACCTTCTCTCTTTACATGAGTTCCTACCTTCAATACCTTTGCTTCTTGGGAGGCTGAAGAGGGTTTCCTGACCAAGCCAGGGGTCATTCGCCATTTGAGAGGGCAAGCAGACCTGGCTGGCCTTTCTCCAGCTGGAAGCTGAAAGGGAATTAAATTCTAGCCCCAGTCCCCACATGCAGACTGCTGGTGCCGGAAACGAGTAGGAGCCCCAACCTCAGTTTCCGAGAGGAGCATATTTACTAGACTGAGTAGAATTATGAGCTGTAGTGTGTGTCTAGGGGTGGTGGGAGAGACAGTAGTTGGTCCTGTCCAGGCTGTGGTCAGGCACATCTCAGATGCTCCAGCCAAAGGAGGAACCATATGGCTGGCCCAGGTGCTTAATCTCTGAATGGGCTTGCGGGCTGCTGTTCCTAGCTGGGCGGTGTCCAGGGGCTTGTGAGGCTGTTTTCACAGTTAGAGGCAGGTTGTTGGCCAGAACTCCAGACCACATCTACGATGGCAGAAGGTCCAGGGTGGCTTCAGTTCTCACTTTGGATAGCATCATGAGCATGGAAGGGTTAATGGAGGAAGACAAACAAAAGAACACAAACTAGCCCCTCCTTGGCTAAAACAGGGCGGGAGAGGGAGAGGTGGGTGTGGCAGGGAGGCAAAGTCACAGGCCCCATGAGCAGGAGGAGTGCCCCAGAATGGACTTTGGCTTTGACAGCCTGCCCCCTTCAGACCCAGCTGCTCCCAGCTTGAGTCAAACCTAGCCAAGTGAGGTCCCACCATAATGAAGCAGAGTTAGGGAAAAATGCACCAGTTTTTTCCCGGCCAAGTCAGGGCTGGACTGCCAGGCCTCTGAGGTCCCTTCTGTCCTGAGAGCCCTTGAGCCTTTGATTCACTGCTGTTTTTCCCTCTAGATAAGCAGTGTAAGTCTGGGCCCTGCCGTCTGGATAATTCAGGTAAGGGATACAGGCATCTGTTGGGTTCAGTCTGCGGGTAGATGGACAGGCTGTCCTGGGGTTGGGCCCCTCACTTGGATGTATATGTGTGTAGGGGGTGGTGGTGGAAGGGAGCTGATACACCTGTACTCCAGTTCGGGCCTGCCCCCTCCCTCACAGGATAAGGCCACCGGTCAGGCCCCAGAGAGATCTGGGTTGTACTGAGGTGATGGGGGGGAGGGCTGTTCCCCACAAAGTCCTCCCTTGCAGCTTCTCCTCCTCTAGCTGCAGAACCCACTGTGCCTGTTACTGCACTCAGGGCTCCCCTCTGACCCTCCTTTCAAGGTCAAGGCCAGACCTTGGGTGCTGGAGACCTGGGCTCTAGTCCAGGCTCTGCCCTGACTCTCTCTGTGACCAGCCCCTCTTCTCTCTGGGCCTCCTCTCTCTCTAGTCCTATCTGTATGATAACAAATTGGACTAGATGATCCCCAGGTCCCTTTCAGCTGTGACTCTTCCCTTGAACACCTGCTGTGCCAGGGCTCACCTGGGCCAACTTTGGTTCAGGTGAGTAGCTCTGCCCATTGTTCTACGTGGGAACAGGTTTTCCCAGAGGATTCTACAGGAACAGGTCATTCCCAGGGAAGAAACCAAGGCCCACTGTGGCTCCCTCTCTTGGATCTCTTCTCCCTCCCTCAGACTCTGTGAACAGTGGGCACGCCTCTACATGGTTCCCACTATTCTCCATGACATAGCAACACCCTGAGTGCCAGGCACATCATGTCATTAATCTTCACCATAACCCAGTGGTGTAGGTACCATTATCATCCTTGTTCTGCACAAAGTGGCACAACCAGCCCTAAATTACACAGCTAGTAAGGGGTAGAATCCAGACAGCCTGGCTTTAGAACAAACTCTGAACCACCACACCAGGCTGGCTCCCACGCTTCCCCAGACACCATTTCATTTTATCTTTACCACACAATAATCTGCTGGAACAGGGAGTATTACCCCCATATAGTAAAATGAGACCCAGAGACAGAAGTGACTTGCTCAAGGTGACAGAGTGAATTAGTGGCAGGGCCAGGTCTCCAGCCTCTAACCCAGGCCTCTTTGAGTTCTGATGGTATAATTTCAGGCACTGAAAAAGTTTAGGATTTTTGCCCCATATCTGCTCAGCTCTTCTCACACCAAGGTTTGGGCTGAGGAACAGATCTCGGCATCAACAGATGCCACTGAGATCTCTACCCCATGTTCTGTCCCACCCTGCAATGCCTCACTTGTGTGAACAGAAGGCAGACAAGTAGATTTAATGACCTCTGGAAGGAGAACTGGTGCTCCCTTGTGGTTTGTGAAGTCAGTAATGCTGATCTTGAAGACAGGGTATGCTTTTAGGCACGGTGGGAAGAGATTAGCTAGAAGATCTGAGGGCCAACAACCACCGCGGCCTTTGCCATCCGTCTGGAGGTGTTGTGGCTGCAGCAGATCCCTGGTCTCTTCATCTCTGTCCACCTTCCTCCCTAAATTCTTGTACTTCATTTCTGTCTCCCATTGCACTTTGTGGATCAATCTTTCCTGCTGACTGTGCTTGTCTTCCTTCATCTTGTTTTTTCATGGACCTCACTTCATCTCTCTCTCCTCTCTGTCTCTGTTTTTCCTGCAGCCATGGGTCAGGGTACCCTTTCTGGAGTCTGGGCTCTCCTGCTGCTGCTCTGGTTCCTTGTGGTGGAGGCCTTTACAGAGAGTCCAGGCCTCCTCTGATCGAGCAGATTCTGAGCAGCCCTGCCTGCCACCTCTGCCCAGCATGAGGATGTTGGCCACATGTGTGCTTTAAGCATAGCCAAAATCCCTGGTAACCCATCTGCAGGGAACTCTGGGACCTCCTCTGGTAACTGCCAGGCTTGCTGGTGGAGAAAGAGGAGAGAATGTTGGGACTAAGCCTTACCCAGGGCTCTAAGAGTGAGGCTCTGGATAGAGGCCGGGGCACTCCAGGACTGGCAGCAAGTCACTCAGAGGTAGAAGAGACTTCAATTAGTTTGGGGGATGAGTGGGGATGAAAGCACTTGGCCATGGTACTTTCTCATATCACTCAGATGCCTCACGTGCCCACCTGGTAAGCTCCTATTCACTCCTCCAGGAAACCTTTTATGACCTCTCTCACCCCCTGGGTTAGGGGCCCCACCTCTCTGCTCCCAGAGGCCCTTGGGTGCTTCCCTATACCATGTGTCCATATCTGTCTCCCACGTCTGTCTGTGAGCTTTCCAAGGGCAGAGCCTGGGTCTGATCCTTCAGAGTCCCAGGGCCTTACTGAGGAAGAACCAGTAAATGAATGAAAATTAGAAAGGAACAAATACTTTGTGAATGGCTGATCCCTGTATGGCCCCTCCCTTGGACATCTCTGAGCTCTCAGAATGTCACTGTGTGGGAATGGAGTGGACTGTACCTAACTGCAGAGGGTGGAGTGCCAGACAGATGGCAGAGAGCGCTTTGGGCCCTCTGCCAGGGTCTCAGTCAAATCTCAAGTCACTTTCCTGTCAACAGATGTAACTTCTGCTCTGATTCATGAGTCCTGAGGCCTGTATCCAGAAAGCCAAACACAGATCCCCAACTTCCACCACCGGGGCCCCAAGGATAAGACAGGATGTCGAGGAGGTGCTGGACACACACACACACTTTATTATGAATTGAGGCTTTGGTGACAAATCCCTGTATGGGCTCTTGGTCTGGAAACTAGACCATGAGCCCCCAGACCCCATCCCTGAGCCCCCAGTTAGGGATAGGCAAGACCAAGTCCCTGCAACAGCAGCCGCAAATGCAGTTATTCTTATCTAACAATCTGTACTCTTCCCACTAAAAGCTCCAGTACCTGGCATGGAAGTTCAATTCTGTCCCTCCAACAGTGTACTCTGATCTTGTCCCTCCTCTTCAGGAATTAGTGGAGTGGAAGAGCTCTGGACTTCCTTCAGAGGTTAGGGGATGTTCCCAACAAGTGTCCCCCTGTGGTTTGTGAAGTCAGCAGTGCTGATCTTGAAGAGAGGGTGTCTCAGGCTCTTAGGCACAGTGGGGAAAGCTGGAAGATCTGAGGGCCAACACCCACCACAGCCTTTGCCATCCCTGTATGGAGGTGCTATGGCTGCAGGAAATCCCTGGGTCCCAGCCGCAGATCCTCACAGGGCTTGCACCAGTACCAGGAGGCTCATGACCAAGGCCATGGAGAAGAAGATGCCCAGGAAGAAGCGGTCCATCACACGGGCCAGGCGTTTCCAGTCCTCATGGCGGCGCTGGGCAGCCTGGTGGCTGCGGAAGGTGTTGGCAATGGTGGCTACATGGTGCAGTAGGGCTTCCTGGTGGCACAGACACCGCAGCTCATGGCAAGGGCCTGCTAGAGGGCCGGCCCCTTCCTCAGGAGGCTGGGGACTGGGGGGTGACTCAGGTGGCCTGAATTGCCCACAGGGCTCCCCCCGTTCCCGCACACACAGGCCCCGTGCCAGGCGTCCCAGCAGGAGGGTCCGAGCCCAAGCTGGCACTGGGCGGGCACTGGGGCCACAGTAATGCAGATTCATGATGAGGATGGTGAGCGCCGTGGAGAATGTGACCATGGTCATAGTGGCCATATAGTACTTCCCTGCAGGAGAAAGATCGAGCCAGCGCCAGCAACAACAACTTAGGGGGCCTGAGCTTCCCAGCCTCCAAGGCACAAATAGAAACAAGCCTACCTATGAAGCTTTCAGGACCCTCAACACCCAATGATGGAAGCAGGAAGGAGGTAAGGGCCAAGGTCTCCCCATTCCTCATTCCTACAAGTCAGTTATCAGAAGCTATCTGCTCCCTAGTTGTCCCCCTCGCTGCTGCAGGCTGCATGCACACTCACCCAACCCATGGAAGTCCCATTCTTCAATAGTACCGGCATGACCTTGCAACTTACTGATCCTTTCTGTACAACAGGGATAACAACCCACCTCCTAGGTTTGTGGTGATGCTTACCTGAATAAATGTCAAGTGCTTAGGAGAGTGGTGCACAGTGATCACACAATACATTTTACCTATCATTATGATACTTCCTCCTTGCTCATCAAGTCCTTGAGAAAAGACCCACTGCTTCTTCCCACCCCTGCCTGCAAGGAGTGTTCTCTCTGCAAGGGGCCTACTCCTTTCCCCTCAATTTCAAACTGAGCGCATGTTCCCAGGACGCAACTCTTCTCACACCCCAAAGCAGGGGCCACTTTGCGGACAGGGGCTGTCTCCCCCCTTCCTTGCTCTCTCTGCCTGAACTCTACGCTCCTCGACTGCGCCGTGGTGGAGCCCCAGGCACTTCAGTCAGGGTTGGGTGGGGATCTTGGGAAGGGCAGCTCTCCCCGGAGGAGTGTACCCCACGCCCTCACCCGCTCACCGATTAGCGGTACACTCTCGGCCGGGGGCATGCTCTCTGCCAGCAGCAGCTGGAAGACGGTGAGCGCCAGCAGCACGGTGACGCCGAGCGACACCTTCTCTCCCGAGTCGGCGGGCAGGTGAAAGGCAAGCGGCGCGAGCAGCGAGATGAGCACGCAGGGCAGCAGCAGGTTGCACACGTAGGCGGCAGCGCGACGGCGCAGCAGGAGCGTGAAGGTCACGTCCGGGTAGGGCTCAGAGCAGCAGCCGTAGGTGAGCACGCGCCGCCGCGCAGGCATGCCCAGCACGCGCCACTCCACGTTGTCCACGAAGTCGGCCAGGCTCGCGGTGGCGCCGCGCGGTCGCACGTCCAGCTGGTGCCCGCCGTGAGTCCACGAGCCGAACGTCAGGCCGCAGCGCTGCGCGTCGAACGGGAAGGCCGACACGTCCACCCGGCAGGAGCTGCGCGTGATGGCTGGCGCGTCCCAGAGCACCGCTCCGTCGTGCTTCAGAACCACGTTGGTGCTGGCCGACGCTTGCGGTTGCGCGTCCGCCCTGCGGACAGGCGGAGCGAGGCTCACTGAGACGGCCCCGGGGCGATGGAGGGGTCACAAAGCTTTAAAGCCACAAAGTCAGCACAGGTAGGAAAAAAAAAAAACAAAAAACACCCATTGCCATCGAGCTGATTCCAACTCATAGCAACCGTATAGGTCAGAATAGAACTGCTCCATAGGGTTTACAAAGAGCCGCCGGTGGATTCAAACTACCAACATTTTGGTTGGCAGCTGAGCTCTTAACCACTGCGCCACCAGGGCCCCACGGAAGGTAGAGGATGCCAAAAAGAGGCTCTCTGTGCTTTTGGAGGACTAGAAGGACCCAGGAGAAATAGAACCAGGGGCCCAGAAGGGACACAGATCTGGTCCAGCGCAGAGTAAAAGGCTTCTACAAAACCCAGAGGTGGTGCAGGGCGGCACAGTGAGTGCCCTTGGGGTACATCTGCAAAGCTTGTGGAGGGGCCTAGGAAAAAATATGCAGAGCCGAGTGTTGGCTGGGAGACACAGAGCTCGTTTAGGCTAGGGGCCATAGAGGAAAACTCTAGCGGGGTTAAGCCCTGGAAGAAATAGATCCCTAGGTAGGCCCCTAAAGGAGCCCGGAGAGACTTAGAGCTGGCCTGGAAAGGTGGAGTGTGCCATAAAGAGGCACCTATGTCCCAGGCCTCTCTCCTTAAGACACAGAGCTGGCCCTTTGTTCCCAGGAGACATTCACCCTGGGTTGGCCTGGGACAGTCTAAATTGGGAGTGCCATGGGGGCATGGGCTGTGAGCCCCCAGCAGCTTAGAAAGGTTCTGAGGACGTGGACAGCTTCCAGGGCAGCATGGCAACTGGTTTGGGTGTGGGGGTGGGGGGCAGGGAAGGCGCATGCCCAGAGGCAAGGGCAGCTGTAGGGAGAGATAGGAGAGGGGAAGGGACCAGGTGAACAGTACTTGTTATATAGGACGATGTCTGGCCGCCACACAAGGCTGCTGGGGATGCGGATGGCATCCAGGCCACCATAAGCATCTGGGTTCCATCGCAGGTAGGCGTCTGTCCACTCCTGTCGGATCCACAGGTACAGGGTCAGCACCTGATTCCGCTCATCCTAGAGGGTTGCAGGGAGTGGGCACCAATGTGGACATGTGTATATGCACACCCTCCCCTGTGCAAGCACACACCTCCAGAGCTTTGGTCAGCACCCATAAGCCTAACTTGCCCATACTCCACTTCCTACCCAGGCCTGACCTTGCTGTGTGATCTTGATGCGTGTCTTCTCCAGGCCTCAGTTTCCTCAGCAATAACATGGGGTGATAATCCCTGCCTAGCAGGGATTCAGGGCAATCAAGTGTGCAAAGTGTTGGGCACACTGCAAGCATCCAACAGTTAGTAGCTGTTATTATTGTTAATATTAAGGTTTCCAGAATTGTTCAGAGAAAAATCCCAGTTTGTCACCCCTTATTCCTTGACAGTGTTATAGGCACACTACCACAACGCACCATGTCAATGATCTGGGACAGTGTCACCTCCATGGTCACATTCAGAGTCTGGTCTGTGTCTGCCACAGGTCGCAGGGCACTTGTATAGTTGGCAAAGAGGTCACGAAACAGCTTGTGAGCCAGCCTGCCCTCAGCTCCTGAGCACCCTGGGGGACCAGTAGGAAGGATTGTCTGCCCCAGGCCTTAGTCCAGGGACCTCTACTCACACCCTCCACCCCCACAAGGCTGAGTCCCTGTCCCCTGCTCCACTGTTCTGATGTCTGGTCCCTGTCCTCTAGCCATGGCTCTAGTCCCTTTGTGGCCTGCTTCCAGGCATAAATGGGGTAAAGACGATAGGGCAAGTTGGGTCTATCTCCCATCCCATCTGAAAGTCTCTTGGAACCCGGTTGACTGGAGGTTTCTACCCCACTTTGCCCCTTCCAAGGACCAAATTCTTCTGTCTACTTTGCCACAAATGCTAACTAGTTGTCGCTGAGTCTGATTCTGACTCATGGTGACCAGATGTGTGTCAGAGTAGTACTGTACTCCGTTGGGTTTTTAATGGCTGAATCTTCGGAAGTAAATCACCAGGCCTTTCTTCCAAGGTGCTTCTGGGTAGACTCAAACCTCCAACCTTTTGGTTTGCAGCTGAGCACATTAACTGTTTGCACCACCCAGGGACTCTGCCACAAATGCTATAGGGACCCAAATACACCATGAGAGTCTGAACTTTCACCGAGGCATTCTGAACCCCATTGCTCTGCCCCTTCAGTCTCTCAAACTTGTTTCCATTTCATTGGCACATTTCAGTTGGTTTCTTCAAAGCTTGATACTGTGGGCCACTCCCTCCTCCTGAAAACACCCTCTTTCCTAGCGTTTTGTGACATAACACCCCATGTGTGTCAGAGTAGAACTGTGCTCCATAGGGTTTTCAGTGGCTGATTTTTCAGAAGTAGATCGCCAGGTCCTTCTTCCGAGGAGCCTCTGGGTGGATTCGAACCACCAACCTTTGGGTTAACAGCCAAATGCATTAATGTGTGCACCATCCAGCGACTTCTCTGACAGATCAAGTCTTTCAAAATGCAACCTGACCAGGCCAGTAAGCTGCTTAAAACCTCCAGGATAAAGCCCAAACGCTTAGCCTGGCATTCAGGGCCCTTCATGGTCTGGCCTCTCTGACCTTTCCAGCCCCATCTCTGGAAGCCCCGCTCACTGCTTCTACCCAAGCTAGGTTAAGTCTCCTCTAAACCTCTTTAGCACCCCTCCTCCATGCTCCCCACATAGAAAGTTTGTTTCCAGCACAGGTACTGAAGAGAAAGATAGAGACTATGTGGGGAGGTATTTGGGGAGGACAGCAATGCTAGGAGAGGCCAGGGCTGGTGGACTGAGCTTCATACCTGGCAGGAGCAGGATCAGGAACAGAAGACCCAAGCTGGAGCCGAGGAAGCTGAGGCTGAGGCGGTTCCTGTGCCCCATGGCCACAGTTGCAGTAAGAGGTGGACAGGTTTCTGTATGTGAAGCCTCCTCGCCAGACCTAGGGCAGCATTAGGCCCTTCTGGAAGGCAGAAGTAAGACAGATCTCTGCTGGGCCCAGCTATCCGCAGGGGAACCTTCCAGTTATCTGACCCTCCATTTGTACCGGCCCTTGGATTTCAGTACTGCTCCTTGGCATCTGCTGTTTCTCCTCCACTGGTCCTTGCCTCTTCTGGCCCCTGCTCTTTTCTATGCTTCCCACCCCCTTTACCTCTCTCTTAGCCTCTCCGCCGGATTTCCATTTGTCTTTTCCTCTGTAACTCTTTGTTGGTCTCTCTCTCCCTGCTTCCCTGGCTCTGATCTTCCTGTCAGTCTCCTACTCCCTCTCACTTTCTCCTACTGCTAGTTCAGCCTCCCTGGCATTCCCCTTCCATTCTCCACACCTGCTGTCTGGGTGAGCCTGGTTCCCTCTCAGCAGAACAGTAGTCTGTCCTTGTCACCGTCGAGGGGTCTGAGGCACAGGACAGCAGAGCCTCTCCTTCTTAGTCCTTTTCATTAGCATAATTACAGGGCAGGGTACATCTGTGCCCGTGGGAACAGAGCAACTGAAACCGACACCTCAGGCTACCAGGATGTGAATTATTCAGCATGTGTAAGGCAGCACCCAGGCTCAGCTCAGGCCCAGCCTGGGTGGCTGGAGAGTCCAGGGACACAGGGGTCAGGATCTGGGGGGGCCTGGGGCCAAAAGGCATGTGGACTGGTAACTGCCCTCCCAGCTCGGCTACCATTGCCTGAATTCTGGAGGCTTTTTTAGACCTGCACCTTCCTCCTAGTGAGGAACAGAATACATCTGCCCAGGTGAGGCGCTGTGTGCCAAGCAAACTCTCCCGTTATGGTGGGAGTGGTTCTGAGCCACAGGCCACTCCAGGTGGCCCCAAAGAGCAGGAGATGTGGCCCACGTCCTCTCTTCAGAGTGCCTGCAGCCATTCCAATTGGAGCCTGTCTTTTCTCCATGCTCAAACACTGCAGGTAATATGGGGTAGTAGGGATAACACAACCCTCAACAAGATGGACTGACACGATGGCTGCAGCAGTGGGCTCAAGCATAACAGTGACTGTGAGGATGGTGCAGGACTGGGCTGTGTTTCGTTCTCTTATACATAGGGTCGCTATGTACAACACCTAACAACAACAACAGCTTTAGAGTCACTTTTAGCTCTGTCTTAGGACCTGTCTGACCGGAGAAAGTTACTGAAACTTGCCACGCCCCTTCTAGTCTCTCAGACTTGTTTCCTGTTCTCTGCTGGGTTTCAGTTTTCTCAGTCTGGATAATGGGATTAATAGTACTTACCTCAAAAGTTGTTGTAAGGATTAAATGAGATAATACAGTAATGCAAGGTTATCTAGCCTAGCACATGTGCTGATGCAAAGTAGACGATCAGCAGTATTTGCACCGTGGTCCCAGGGAGTTATTCAGGATATCTTCAGGAGCACATGCTTAGATTCACAAATAGTCATTAGCTGTGAAGTTGTTCATGACTTTTGTCAAAGGTGGTTGTCTGAACAACAGCCCTGGAATCACATCCATGGCTATGACTTCAGGTATCATGGATACACCGATGATTCTACTTTCTCCAACACAGTCCCCTCCCCTGGACACTGCATGCTTATCTCCAACTGCCCTCCCCATTATCTCCCTCTGGATGCTGCACATGGCATTTCACATCGTTTTAAAATGGAACTTCTTTCCTCCTCTCCTCTTCCCCCATGGTCTCTAATTCAGTTATGGTACCACCATTCATCCAGGTTGAGAGGAACCTCTCACATTAATCAGTCACTATGTCTTGTCCATACCGCCTCCTTAACATGTTTAGAAGTTGCTCTCTGCAGCCATTGCAGCTATCCTGGTTCAGACTCATCCTTTCCTGCCCATACTGTTGCAACAGCCTCCTCACAGGTCCCCTCCAGTCAGTTCTCCTGTGGGTGGCTTCCCCATAAGAGAAACTACAAACTCTTTAGCCTGACACTGAAGGTCCTTCATCATCTGACCATCTACCTACTTTCCAGACTTGTTTCCTGCACTCCTTTGTAGTTCATGCTTGTGAAGCAAAAAGACTGCCTGTGCCTCATGAAGCACCATTCCACTATCTGGCTTTGTGCCTTTGTGTATGTTCATCTGCCTGCTGTGCTGTTTCCCTCCTAGAGACACAGCAAACTCCTTTCACCCTTCAGGCCCATACTTGGATGCCTTGTCTTCTGTGAAGCTTTCTTTACCCCGCCACCTCCCTGACATTGCTCTTCTGCAGTTAGACATCCTCTCTGTAACTGCATATGCTACTGGATCATCATTGTGGAGTGTCTTTTTCTCCTCTAGACTGTAAGCTTCTTGAGGGGGTGATGGTGAATGTTTGTTACACTAAACTGAAGAAACAACCTCTTCCTCCAGCTCAAACACATTTCAACCCACTAGGCCTGGCGAATAGAATCATATCCAAATACTCCTCGATTCCCCGGTATGGCTCTGCCTTCAGCTGCCTTGGCCTCACCTTCCCTCTTCCTCTCCATATTTTCCTGCCTGTTTGGTTTTCGTTCTCACAAACTGTTGCATTCACCGGGGCCAAAACAATTGCCCTGGAACAAGAGAATAAGGGGAGAGGTGCTGGTGCCTTTGGAGACTTCCTCCCCACTTCTTTTTCTGTGTGCTTTTCTTCTGAGGCGCCTCTGGGTGAACGTGAACCTCCAACCTTTTGTTAGAAGCCGAGCACACTACCATTTCCACGACCCAGGGACTCCACACATTTATTAGGATAGGTAAAATAAAAGACACTAACAATACCAAGTGGTGGAGATGTTGTGTGGCTACTGAAACTTTTTTATATACTGGCGGTGGGAGCGCAAAATGGTATGGCAGTTTCTTATAAAGTTAAACATACACTTACCATATGACCCAGGAATCTTACTCTTGGGAATTTACCCTAGAGAAATGAAAACTTTTATGTTCAAGCAAAAATTTGTGTATGGATGTTTATAGCAGCTTTACTCATAATTGCCAAAACTGTAAACAACTCAGATGCCCTTCAGTGAGTGAATGGATAAACTGTAGTATAGCCATACAATGAAATAGTTACTACTCAGCAATAAAAAGGAATGAACAGGCAACAACTTGGACGAGCCTCAAAGGCATTGTGCTGGGTAAACGAACCTAGTCTCAAAGACGGAAAACTGTATTTCCATTTATATGACTTGTTTTTAAAATTGTGCTTTAGGTGACAGTTTACAGCTCAAGTTAGTTTCTCTCTACAAAAATTTATACACACATTGTTATGTGACCCTCGTTGCCATCCCTATAATGTGACAGCACACTCCTCCTTTCCACCCTGGATTTCCCGTGTTCATTCAACCAGCTCCTATCCCTTTCTGCCGTCTCATCTTGCCTCCGGACAGGACCTGCCCATTTAGTCTCCTGTATCTACTTGAACTAAGAAGCACACTTTTCACAAATATCATTTTATGTCTTACAGTCCAGTCTAATTTTTGTCTAAAGAGTTGGCTTTGGGAATGGTTTTAGTTCTGAGTTAACAGACTCTGGGGGCCATGTCTTCCGGGGTTCCTGCAGTCTCAGTCAGACCATTAAGTATGGCCTTTTTACTAGAATTTGAGTTCTGCACCCCATTTTTCTCCTTCT